CTGAAGAGGTGGGATGGAGGGAGGGGGCATCTGAGCAGGGAGGGGCCGGAAACTCAGCTTCTGGACCCGGCGCAGGCTGAATGTGGGTTCGTCTTGGCCTCCCAGAGAACCCAGCACACACAGGGCCCCGCGTGGGGACACATCAGCGTGCCCACCATGGGCCCGTGAAGCTGGTGTCAGGGCACACCCTGGGGACAGTCGATGGGGGTGGTGTACAGAGCGGATGCTGCCAGGGCCCCCACTCATCTGTGAAAGGGGCTCAGTGACACCCCAAAACAAACAGAGAGACTGAGGGACCCCGCTGCGGGGTGCCCCTGACCACCGCAGCCAGCCCGGGACTACGGGGTCTTCCCACGAGAAGCCAGCATTTCTCTGGAGAGAAGGGAGGTGGGCAGGTGTGGCAAAGCAGTGCAAACAGAAAAGTTTGGGGGTGTCGTGCTCCCTGCAAGCCAAATATTAGCCAGAGCAGCTGGGGAAGTCCTGGCTGGGAGGGTGAATGTGAGCCGGGAGCTGCGTGATGGGAGGAGCCTTGGGGCAAAAGTGTCTAGGCAGAGGGACAGCAAGTGCAAAGGCCCTGAGGTTGGGAGACACTGGCCAGACAGGAGTCCCTGTCTCTGAGATTGGGCTCTTAAGCCCTCTGTGTCCAGTCTCTCTTCCCACATGGGATTTCTAGATCTGTCTGCTCAGACCTGTCTGCCCCGCTTTCCTGCAGCCTCCCTGGGCCAGACCCCTCCGGACACACGTGGGGGGCAGGGCTGAGAAGTAAGCCTGAGGCGTGGCTGGGCAGGGTATGTGGGAATGTCACAGTTTTAAGATGCTTGGCCCAGTGCTTAGGCTGGTGTTAATGAGGTCAAGGTGGATAGTGTGATTCTGACCTGAGCCGGGTGGTCAGGTGAGGGGGGGCAGCACACCCCTGCGGCTTGTCGCCGGCCCAAGGGGGGCTGGGCGGCTCCTTACCTGTGGGGGGCAGCGTGGCACCTGGCACAGGGCAGTACTTTGTGGGGTTTTTGTTGGTGGTGATTGTGGTCGTGGGACTTGAACTAAGGGCCTGGCGCTGTCCCTGGGTTCTTTTGCTCAAGGCTAGCACTCTACCCTTGGAGCCACAGCTCCACTTTCGGTTTTCTGGTGGTTTATTGGAGATAAGAGTCTCATGGACTTTCCTGCCCAGGGAGGCTTTGAACCGCGATCCTCAGGTCCCAGCCTCCCGAGTAGCTAGGATGGCAGGCGTGAGCCACTGGTGCCCAGCTAGCACTTTGGTATAGTCTCTGCACTGGGAGAACAGGGATGTCTGTTCCGTTCAGGCCACGTGCCTGGCATGCAGTAGGTGCTCAGCACACCTGTGGCCTTGCCCCGCTCCAGTCTTGGGGTCCCCTGGGACTGTGACAATGGGGCGTGGAAGGTCACCTCTGCAGTGACAGGGCTCGGGGTGGTGTAAGAGGGGGACAGAGGGCTGGTTTTGCACATGCGTTGTTGGTGCGGGGATACAAGCTCAGCCTGGGCTGGGAGGATGGGGAGGAGCCGCTGCTCTGACCGCACGCCCAGGCCGGAAGTCCAGGCTGCCGCCGGACACGGGAGCTGTGGCATGGACAGAAGCTGCTCGGGCTTTGGGGAGAAACTGGGTCCCCCCCAGCCCTGCGCCCCATCGGACAGAGCTCAGGGAAGGCCGACCAGGCCCTGACCCCGGCTCAGATGACTAAGGGGCCGTTCGCTGGGCCCGTGGAGAGGCCTGAGTCACACGGGCCCCAGGGGGAGCAGTGGCCACCCCAAGAGGAGGGTCCTGCACCGCCAGGAGCCCTGGAAGTCCCACTTCCCAAGCTGGGCCTCCGTTGGCTGGTAACTGAGAAACCTCCACCCCACAGCCTCCACCTCCAGGGGGAAGTGGCCGCGCTGTCCCCACCGGGGCCTGGCGGGAGGACTTGAACCCGAGCGTGAGCTGAGCTCGGGACCTTTGCACCCAGTGAGGCCCCATTCGCTCTCCTGCGCCATGACGGAGGAGTGGCGCCAGCATGTGCGCTGTGGGCTGCTGGAAGATTGTCCGGTGGTCCTGAGCGTCCATCTTGCGTGCCCCCCACCACACTGGCTGCCCACGCCCACCCGCCCAGCCCCCACGCCCTACACAGCCGGCCTCGGCCTTCTGCTCAAGGCGAGCGCTCTACCACCTGAGCCACAGCGCCACTTCCGGTTTTCTGGTGGTTCATCGATGCTGAGTCTCACAGGTTTTCCTGCCTGGGGCTGGCTTTGAACCGAGATCCTCCGATCTCAGCCTCCTGAGTAGCTAGGATGACAGACATGAGCCACCGCCGCCCGGCTGACTTGCTCATTTCTTAGGCCACCTTCTACAGCCAGGCACCCGGGCTTGGCCACGCCACCTGCAGGCCTGGGCCCCTCAACCTAAGTGGAAAGAGGGAGCCCCAGGCCCCCGAGGGCCCCCCCCCGGTCCTGCAGGCCGGGTGACCTGTGCCCACGTCCTGCCGTGCAGGGGGAGAGCTGCCCAAGGGGCCTGGGTGGAGGCTTCCCCTCCCCCCTCTGCCCCTGGGGATTAGGGACTTAGCTGACAGCACTAATAGTCCTTAAGCCTCAGCTGGGTCAGCAGCCCCCCGCCCCCCGTTTTCCCCTGCTCCCTGCTGCCCTGTCTCAGCCCGCCTGGCAACATCCCTGTGGCTGTCACCCCAGCCGCGTGAGGCCTTGGGGTGCCACCACAGGCCCTCAAAATCACCCGACGGGACAGAGCTGCACACTTCTCCTCAGCTTCTCCTAAGCCCCTCCCCAGCCCCCGGCCGTCTGTCTGTGCTGATAAACGTAATGATGCCAGAAGAACCCCGCGGCCCGCGGCAGAACGGAGGCTCCCAGGGAACAAGGGAAGGGAAAGATGCCTCTTCTTTGGTCCTTCTGCCCTCCCTCCTCCCTCCTCCTTTCTCCCTTTCCTTCCCTCCCTCCCCCTGTAACACCCATCCAATCTTCTCTAGGGCTGGGCCCCGGGCCGGACACTGAGGTCCTGGGTTGAATCCTGTGTAGTCTCAGGCTCAGGGCCTGTGGCCGGGGAAAGCAGTAACCAGGAGGGCTGGAAGCCTGGAGCATGAAGTAGGCCCGAGGGCAGCCGGGTCGCCCATAGCAGCCTCGGGCAAGCGGGCGACGCCCGGGAAGATGCTGTGGAGTCTCAGTATAAGGGGTCTCAGAGCCCCGCACGAGCGCCTGGACCAGGGGAGGGGCGGGCCCGGTGGGGGCTCTCACCGAGGCTGGCACCTGCCCCCACTGGTCTCTGCCCACTGTGCAGACGGTGCCAGGAAGAGGTGGCCTGTGCTCCTCAAAATTGTGGATACCAGGAGCACTGGGGGCCCCAAGCTGTGCTGTCCCCCGGCTCTGTCCCTGCCCCCCGCCCACGTCCTGGTCAGATGGTCAGCATGGACAGACGGGGGTGGCGGGGGGCAGACACCCACCCCACTCACAGCTTCAGGCTGGGTCTGGAGCCTATGTCACTGTGGGGCGGCCCTTCTGTTCAAGGGAAACTGAGTCTTGGAGAAAGTGCTGAGCTCAGCCAAGACCTAGGTGAGAGCAGAGCAAGGTTCTCATGTGCAGAGCTGCGCTGGTGTGTGAACCTTCTCGGTGTGTGTGCTCAATCCGTCCCGGAGGGACGGGGCTAGCTGTGGTGACACACACTAGATGCTGGCCACGCCGAGCAGACGCACACCGGACGCACTGACAGACGCTGGGCACAGAGAGCAGCCTCAGGCCCAGCCCCCAGAGCCTGGCTCTGGGGCAGCAGGTGGAGAGGAGGCGTGCGGCGTCTTGGGCAGGGACCATCTGATCTGTCGCTGTGATTGACGTCTGTTAGGTATCTGGAGCTGTTTTCTCCCTCACCCCACTTTTTCCCAGCCATATGCAAATGAATTCAGTTCAAGTAACGCGCTAATGGAAATCCTAACACATTAATAAATGTTTAGCGCGAGAGAGAACATGCCTGATCGTAAGCAATTACACACTCAACGGAGGAGTTCTGTTGGCACAACTGTCTGGCTTCTTTCTCTCCTTCATCTCCAGAGATGCAGGGAGAGGGAGAGGGAAGCAGGGGGAGGCATGGGGGCCACGCGGGCTCCGGCCCCGGTGCACGAGACCTGGGTAGCTGCACCCCAAGCCTCAGCTCCTCATCCTCTAAGATGACCCCCCACCCCGTCCTGTGTTCAGCTGCTCTGAGAGCCACGCGTGGAGCCCGGTGCCGCCGCTGGGCAGTGGCACGCTGGAGGAAGTGGGCAGGGCCCTTGGACGGACAACTCCCAGCTTCTCCTCGGAGCTGGGGGGCTCAGGAGCCGCACCTCCTGCTCTCCGGCCTGGACAGCTCTGAGCTGGAAACCATGACCCACCCACAGAGCTGCTGGGGTGGAAGCGACCCTGGGCATGGCTGGGCAGAAGTGGTCCCAGGCAATGAGGGCTCCCGCCAGCCCCCTGGGCAGGGCCTCGGCAGTGGAGATTCCCCCCGAACCCCACCCCAACTACAGGACTGGGGCGGTACGGGGAAAGCCAAGGCTTTCCACAGTGGAGGTGGAGGGTGGCTTCCAGAAACTCTGGGGTGGGGTGGGGGAACCTATATTCAACCTTGCTCCTTTTTCTGTTCTCCCCAGCCAGGTATTCTATGTTCTCGTCAAGACAAATCCTCATTGTGAAAATAAATAACAACAAAACTACCCCCCCTGCCCTTCCCACCCTGCCATCTCAATTAGATTACATGTTCAGAGCAGTGCAAATGCCATGTGCCTTTCGGCTCAAATTAAAAACAGGTGCACTTTTGCATAAGGAAATTAAGTTGCAGACAATATGGAGATTTGCAACATGCAGACGCTGATGGAAATGAGTAGCCCTTTTATTTGTCGTTATCCAGGCGGCCGGTGGCAGAGTGTGCAGTCAGACAGCTCCTCCGACTCTCGCGGCCGGGGCCCCCGGCAAAGGGACAGACCCGTGTCCGTCCCCCCTCCACCCCGCCCCCGGTCTCTGGGTGCTGTTTACAAGGCACGCCACGCCACGCCATACACAGGAGTTCTGTAGAGGTGACCAGGCCCCGCCCGAGGCGCTGGCTTGGGTGGCGTTGGCGCTGGTCACGGGCCCGGCTCCTCGATGCGCCGGCGGCAATAGGGGCAGCAGGCATGCTGCAGCACCAGCAGCTCGTAGTCCTCCGAGTGGAACATCTGAGGGAGAGGCCCGGGTGAGGCCAGCGCCCAGCCCGAGGGCCTGGCTGGAGTCAGGGGTATGAACAGGGAGAGGCAGGGGGCAGGGGGCAGGGGAGGGGCGCCCGAGGGCCTGGCTGGAGTCAGGGGTATGAACAGGGAGGGGCAGGGCGGAGGCAGGGGCAGGGGCAGGGGCGGGGGGGGGCAGGGGGGCGGGGTACCTGGAAGCAGGAGGGGCACATGGTGATGGAGGCGTCGGGCAGCAGGGAGCGGAAGTACTGCCACTGCAGCGGGGGCGGCCAGCGCTTGATGAGGACGTCGCGGCGGCTCATGGAGCGCAGCACCGACCGGTTCACCACCACCGGCGCGAACTCCGAGCCGCCCTGCTGCAGAGGGCATGCGCGGGGCCCTAACTAACGGTGTGGACCACCATCCCAGAAGCCCCTGTGACAGGGCCGCCCTGCCTCCCCTGCAGACCCACCGTGCCTGGGCCCCGAGTCCCCCTCTACCCCCCACATCTGGAAGCTGTGGCCGCTACCTGAGGTGCTGTGTGCTCGGAGCCCCGGCAGCCCTCCCCGGGGCGCCTTACCTCGAAGCTCAGCTTGGCGGTGAACGGGTCGTCCGTGTCTCCCACGGGGTCCACGGTCTCGTCCAGCCTCAGCGCCTGGGAATCTGGAGGGCGTGGTCAAGGAAGGGTGCAGAGGAGGCAGGCAGGACCTCCGAGCGGCCAGCGGGCCGGCCCCCCGCTGGTGGCTCGTGGAGGCTGGGACTGGGACGGAGCCTGGGCGCGTGCGCGGGGCCAGCTCCTGCAGACAGCATGCAGGTGGGTGTCAGAGCAGGGACGAGGAGGCAAGAGCGTCCTGGAAGAAGAGGCTGCTGGTGCTGGCTCAGGAATGGGGCTCGGGCACAGCCAGCCTGGGCCTCTAATGGCACCTAGTAAGCCACAGGCACACAGCGGGTGTTTTCCCTTCCTGGGCAAGGCAAGGGAGACAAAAACCTCAGCGGCTCTCCTGCCACTGCCAATTCTCCGCAGGGCCCTGGCCAGGAACGCAGCCGCCCAGTGGACCCGCGTGGCGTGGTCGCGAGGCCCCGCCCGCCCCCCTCAGGAGGATACTGTTGCTCGAGATCTCCTGCCACTTGCTGCCCTGCTTGGGCCTGGGGGCCTCCAGGTCAATGAGCGAGACAGCTTCCTCGTCGGTGATGCCCTCCTCCAGGTAGAACTCCACCAGGTGCAGCACCTCTGGGGGCACGGGGTCGGGGTCAGCCCCCACAAGGCCATGGGTGGGGGCAGGGCCCTTGGTGGCGGGCGAGCTGCTCTCAGGCCTGACCTGCCCCTGGGAAGGGACCTCGGGGACCGAGAGCCAGCGCGGCCCCGTGGCTGCCTGGCTGGGGCAGGTCCTCGTCCGGGCAGCACCGGCCCTGACATCTCCAGGCCCGGCAGCGCGGCTGTCGCGCACGCCATGGCCGTGAGTTGCCCCCGGCGGCGCAGGGCGACTCACCGTAGGAGGAGGCGGAGAAGACGAAGGGCTGGCGGCAGTTGATGCACACGTTGCCTAGGTTGTTCAGCAGGGGGTTGTTGGTAGAGCAGCGGTAACACAGGGGCACCAGCTCCTGAGGAGCACGCACGCACCCGGCTGACCACCAGTGCCACGCGCCTCACTTCCCGGGGCGGGGCTGGGTGCTCAGGAGGGGCGGCGGCGGGGGGGATGGGGGGGAGACAAGGGCCTAGGCCAAGCTAGCAGGAGGCTTCCTCTGGGAATGGAGGTTCTCAATGCCCAGGACGCGGCTAGGAGTTGGCATCAGGCACTGGCCAGGCTGGAGGAGACGCTGGCTGTGCACACTGGGTGGGCTGTGCACAGCTGGGGAGGGGAGGGAACCCCAGAAGGAGGGTCAGCCCGAGCCAGGCCTGGGGCTGGGCACCTGCAGCCGGGAGCGGCCGCGGGTGGGGTGGAGAAGGAGGCGGCAGGCCGAGGCGCGGGAGGGCGGGGAGCGTGGCCGCCAACCTTTCCCAGGCGGTGGGCAGCCAGGGGGGTGCGGGGCGGGTACGGGCCCCACCTCGCTGTCGTGGAAGGGCTTGGAGCGGATGGTCAGGCTGCCCAGCTCGATGGGCTTCTGGAAGCGCGCGGGGATCTGCAGGCCCTGCAGCTTGTCGTAGGCGTGCCGGGCCAGCTTGTAGGCCCCCAGGGCCTTGCTCTGCTTGGCCAGGGTGAAGAGCGTGTTTCTGCCGGCGCGGATTAAGGACAGTGCAGGCTGGGAGTGGCACCGCCTGGCCCTGGACCCGGCCCATTGTGGAGCCCGAGGCCCACCCTGCCGTCCGCAGAGTGGAAGAGGGCCTCTGGGCCAGGTCGTCCTGGGAGCAGCCACTCCACCCCATCTCCTCAGCCGGTACAGGGCTGTCTCCTCCGCCACATAACGGCCCTGGCCACACCTGGCCTGAGCTGTGTTCTACTCTTGGGCAGATTGTACATGCCATGGAAGTAGGTCCTGAATGCCTGTCACCTTCCCTACCTACTAGGTGGCAACTCTGTCACCTGGACCTGTGCACCTGAGCTGACACACCGTCTCCCCTGGGAGATGGCCCACAACCCCAAAGCGAGGCCTGCCCGGTTTCGCTCATGCCCTGTGGTTTCAGGGAGGACTGGGGACATGGTGCTGGCCAGAAGCCTGGCCCAGGCAGAGCCCTGAAAGCTGATCTCTTGGCTGGCTGCTCAACCGCTCACCCACTGTGCAGAGACAGCCTTCTCCCTTCTGCCAGGAAAGTGCTCTGGGAAGAACTCGGGCCATTAGATGCAGGGAGGGCGAGGAGAGAGGATACACTTTAGAGATGCCCAAGGGGGCATCCTTGGTCAGGCTGTGCAGCAGGAACCTGGAGACGTTGAAGAGGGTTTCTGGAAGGTGGAAGCTGAAGGGCTCCTCCTGCGGGAAGAGAAGAGCGGACAGGGATGGATCTTGCCAGAAGCAGACACAGCACACTGAGCTACTGCAGCCCGTGTGCACTGGTGCCATCTACCCTTTAACACACTCTGTGGGCTCTGTTTCTCTCTCTCTCCCTCACACACACACACACCACATACTCTTGAGGAAAGTGATGCCCTCAGGGAAGACAGTATAGGCCAGGACCTAGCAGGCAGCACTCAGGACCCAGGCCTTCTGCACCTAGAAGCTGCTGGAGTGTGGTGCAGAAGACTGCAAGGAAGGTTTGACCGCAGGCTCTGCTCTGAAGGAGGCTGGCACGAGGGCGCAAACATGGAGGCAGTGATCTCTAACCACTCTGTTGTGACTCCTGCCCCTGTGCTGCACCAAACAGGCCACACGGACTTCCTGAGGCTGGCTGGGCCTTCGCACCATGGAGCTACCAAGTTTATCTCTTAATTGGTCCAAATTCGTAAAGACTCACTTCTGCTGACTTGGTTCAGAGCCCAGCATCTTCTCGTGCATTCCCACTTACACTCGTACAGCCACCATTAGCTGCTCCAAGAACCAGGAACACCTGAGACGCATCCTTTTTGGGATGCAAGCCAAGAGACGCCTGCCTCTGGCTCTACTATGCTAGGTGAGGAAGCGAAGCAATGTCCCGGGGGAGGGGGCACTCAAACTCAGCACCTCTTCCCTGGGAAAGAAACTACACAGTCCAGGAGGCCCCCACGTCTCCCTTCCCCAGCTTCCACGCTGCCCCGTGCAGAGCTGCTCTGCCAGGCCCTGGTGCAGACTCCAGACCCTCAGCGGCCTCCATGTCTGCACAGGCTGTGCCCTTCCCTCCCCTTCTTCACTCGCTCCCTGCTTCCTTGTCTCCCACCTCAGCCGAGGCCCCAGCTCCACTCAGTCTCCCCTGCACTGCCCTCGGGGGACTGTCCCGTTTCCTGAGCTACAGGTTGCTGGGGGAGAAACAAGATCTCAATCACCACCGTGTGTTGAATGTGGCCACGTGGCCAGGGTGACACCGGGGCCCTGGCTGCTAAAAGGACCTCCAGCTGAGCCCCACATGGATCTGCAGCAGGGCTGGCTGTCGGGGACAGGAGACCCCAGGATGGCGGGGAGGGGCAGGGGGGCTGAGAGAGGTCAGGAACCAAGATCTGGGCTCCCAGTGGCTCAGACAAACCCAGGCTGGGCTGGGGCTCTGCCTCTCCACCCCACATGGAGTCTGGGCTCCTTGGTCTGTGGCCTCTCATCCATACAGAGATGTGGGGCCCTGAGGGGGTTCGCAGCCAGGGGGAATCAACGACCACAAGAGGAGACGAGGCCTCTGGAGCCCCCGCACCCCTTAGGAAAGTGACAACACCCACACCCAGGCTGGCCAGATGGGGTCTGGCCCCCAGGGGTCACGTCAGTGCAGGCGCCCGTAGGGAGGACGTGCGAGGCAGCTGGGGAGCAGCATCTGAGGGGCCAGCCTGAAGGCTGTGTACAGCTGCCCGCCCGGGGCCTCCACCAGGGGCTCCTCCCAGGACTTCCCATAGGAACTCACAGCAGGTACTGCCTCGGCCCCATTTCACAAAGACAGAAGCTGAGGCACAGGGAGGGGTCACACAGCACAGCTGGAACCCAAGGCCTCGAGTTCACCAGGCCAAGTTAGAGGGCAGGGGAGGCGGAGGCTGAGGGACCGAGGGGAGCCAATGCCTGCCTCCATTCTCTACTGCCAGGAGCCAGGAGGGAAGAATGGGGGGGGGGTTCTGAGAAGAACCGCATGGCCTCTGCTCTCGCCCCGTACCGTGTAACGCTGAATGGCATGGTAGCCGTGGTACAGCTCGGCCAGGTGCTGGAAGTGGTAGAACTTGTTGAGCATCGTGTCCTTCTGGGCGGGATCTGCTGTGTGTGGCGGGAGGGAGGCGTGTCAGATCTGTCCAGGGTGGTCAGTCAGCCACAGGCAGGCGGCAGCACAGGTGGCAGCCTTCACAAGGAAGAGGGGCCCAGAGAGGCTGGATAGGAAGTGGCCCCCCGGCCCCCGGTAGCAGCTTATCTGGACTGTGGTGCCTGGGCTGGACAGGGCTCTCCTGGTCACTAAGGGACGGGGCTCTCTGGGCTGCACGCTGCCCTACAGCACATCCGGCTAGGCAAGCACCAGACCCCCTGGAGGCACCTGGAGGGACAGCTGGCCAGCAAGCAGTTTCCCTGGCCACCACCCTCACCAGTGTGTCTGCCCTTCATGTGGCTGTGACAGCACACACCACTGCCAGAACCAAGAAAGCCACAGGGCTCGACGGCCGAGGCTCTAGAGGCTCTAAGCATGGTGCTGCGATGCTCAGATGAGCCGGGAAGGGAGCAGGGCAGGGACACCTCACGGCTGACAGGGACACCCCCGTGACAGGGGCATCCGGAGCTCAGGGGGAGGTCCCCAGCCTCCGGGGCAGTGCTGTCCCCTCTGCGTGTGGGAAGACCGTCTCTCTCTGCTCCTCCAATCCAGGGCCCCCAGTGCATCATGGGAAGTCTTGTGAAAGAAAGCGACACTACAACTGTTTCCTGCCTGGGCTGAGAGCATCTGAAGCTGCTGTGGGCAACCTCCCCTTCATCTTTCACGTAATTAAATTGCTTCAAGCTGGTGCTCACCGTATCCAGCTACGGGGTCTCAGGCAGCAGGGGAGAGAGGGGCTCTGCATTAGCAGCACTGGCAGAGCCTCTCATCCGTAACCCCTGTGGGCCCAGGCACCACCCTTCTACTTCAGGGCATACTAGAAAGAGATGACACCCCCAGATTGTGCCATGCCACAGGCTCCCGGACGATGCGGCCAGCCAACCAGCCTGGGGCTTTAAGGAAACGTCCACTCTTGTGACTGTCTGCGCCAGCACGGGCTGGCGGCTGTGCACTTACCTTGAGCTATGTCAAGGCACTGCATGGACAGCATCCAGTAATAATAGGCGGCGTCATTGAATCTGCTTTCCACCACGGCGTTGTGTGTGAGCTGCTCCAGCACCTTGACTGCTTCTTTCTGCCGCCCGGCCTTATGGAAGGCTGGAAAAGGAAAGCACGCATCACCCAGGGGACCGGAGAGGGGTCGGGCTGTGCAGGGTGGGTATGGGGTCAGTTTGGAAGTCGGACACCCATCAGAACATCTGCAGTGCTGGGTGCTGGGTGCTGCTGCTCGGGCCACCAGCTATAAATACCTGGGACTACGTCCTGGAAGAAAAAAAAAAAGCACAGGGAGACGCACTCTGCTCCTCTTTGGCTGGGAAACAGCAACCTGCTTCCGCAAGGCATGGTAGAGAGAAGAGCCCAGGGTGCCGCTGGGGTCAGTGGGTCTCTGTCCCCACTTTCCAGGAAGCATTTGCTCTATTCCACATTGCTCCGTGATACCCAGGGCAACGCTGACAGAGCTCGTGCTTCCCTGGCTAGAAGGTTACAGCAGACTTTGGAGGAAGAGAGTTTGCTCCCTCGTCACGGATGAAGGGCTGGACCTGGTCAGGTATAGACAATGTCATGCTCCAGTCACAAAATGAGCTGGGCCCAGGGCCGAGCATGCCTTCCCTTGCAGAGTGCTCTCTGGAGTCAACCTTGGAAGATCTGGCTCTGTTCCTCAAGCCAGACATTTGTGAAAATAAGCAATATATATATATATTTTTTAAATTATTCCTGTGTCTGCTTAACAGACATTTCCTGAGCATCCACCCTGCCAACCTGGACCCCTGGAGACGCCGGAGGCTGCCAGTGAGGCCCGCGTGTGGGCACGCTGGTGGCCCCGTCCCCTGCCTGGAGAAAAGGAAAGGGTCTGGCCTTTGTTCTACTCCCATCACCGTCTCTTGTCTGAGTACCAAGTTACTATGGCGATGAATTCTTGGAAGGGCGATGCAGACAGATGGATAGGTTGATGTGTTTTGCCCAAACATGCAGATACTTCAGCAACTGGGTGCTGTGGAAGTGCTGTGCGGGCGAGAACGCGCCGTCCTTCAGTGGGGTTTTCACTGAGGAGCTCCGGCAGGGAGGCAGCGCTGGGCCGCGTGTCCGGAGGTGGCAACTGCTGCCACGTGGAAGCGTAACTGAGATGCCAGGGAGCAGACGCACTGGCTTCAGCGAGGAGGCCCTCGGAACAGGAAGCAGAACGGGCAGAAAACCAGATCTGGTCCAATCCTGGCTCTGCCACTCGCTAGCTTTGTGACTCTGCACGGCACATTTAGCCTCTGTGTCCCTGCAGGGTGGCTGGCAGGATTCAAGGTTATGCGGGTTAAGTCCCCAGCCGGGGCACAGCGCAGGCAGGCAGGTTTGTAAGTCATGATTAACGTGCCCAGGCGAGGCTCTGCGCTTGCCTTGGCTCTACTTCAGATCTGCCATGCCTCATGCGTAGCCCATTCACCAAGGCAAACGCAGAGGAGCGGAGCCCCCCGCCCCCGCCAGCCAAGATGGAAACACAGCCCTGCGCTCTGCTCTCAGCAGGAAAGCGTGGATGTGGGACGAGGCAGGCGGCTCAGCGCAGCCTTCCATTCGCCCTTGCCGCAGGCCGGCGCTTCCCAGCTATGGGACTTCACACTCCTTGAGCAACTTCAACCTCGGTTTTCTCATCTGTGGAGTGGGACCACCAATACCACACCATGGGCCGTGGTGAGAACCAAAGGGGAAGAGACACTGGGGTACACCACCCTGCTCACGAGCTAGAGGCAGGACCTACGGCCCATGTCCTGTCCACTGCCCCGAACTCTTTTCTCTGCAGAGCCCTCCTATCTAAAGAAGAATCACCTGTCTTGGGGCCCGTGGAAGGGAGCGGCCCGGCAGGCCCCCTGAAGTGTGTGTCTTGGCGCTGACTTCTCCCCCTCTGCATGGTGCTATCTGCACGGCCTACCTTTCTGGGCTTCCTCAAAGCGATCGTTCTCTGCTAACCACTGAGCGTAGGGCACGTAGATGTCATCCTTGAACTCGGGATGCTTCTCGCCCAACGCAAAGGCCTGGAGACCGGAGCACAGGCCCTCTTAGTGAACTGTTCCCCACAGCCCCACAGAAACATGGCACCGAGATGTCATATTTTGCCAGCCTGACAACTCAGAGGGGGAGAGAGCCCACCCCCCACCCCCAGCAGCACAGAAACAAACCAGCTCTTTGAAAACAAAAGGCAATTAGCAGCAATATGCAACTGACTGGATTCAACAACAACACAGTCTGTTTCTGGACCACAGAAGCGGCACAGAATCGGAAACATTTTATTTTGAGGGTTTGCGTGGGCTCCTGTAGCGCTGCAAACAGATTTCTTTTAATTGCAGGCGACACCTACGGAAACGGGATTGACATTATCATCATCACTGCTTACGAGCTGTCAGAGATGGCTGTGGACGTGGTGCTGATGGGACTGGGTGGCTGCTCCCCCCCCCAACCAGGCCCCAGACCACCTGCTGGGCCCAGAGAACAGGACATGATGGCAGGGGGGAGGGAGAGGAGGGGGGGCTTTGCCTGAGGCTCTGCCAGAACCCAGTGCTTCTGAGATGCAAGGACTCTGGTAAGTTTATCTTGTAGCCATTATTGCCCCTGGCCTCACCTTTTCTCCCCTGCGATCTTGTCACCTCAGACACTCAGGGTACCCAAGGGCCTTGTTATGGCTGACACTGCAGGGCACCGGGTGGGGGGACCCTGCAGCTCTGATAGCCTGGCTGATTCTTTCCACGTGTCCCTCACACTAGAGTGGTCAAGGATAGGGGTCAGGGAGGGAGGAGAGAACTGCCCCTGAAACGGCTCTGGCAGCTTCTGCCTGAAAAATACAATTGGCATTTTCTGCCCAAATGCTGCCCAGCAGGTTTTAAATGTCACATCCGTGCATTTTCACATCGGAGAGCACAGGACACTGTGGTGCTGGTCAGAGGCAGCAGACCAGCACCAACCGCAGCCCCGGACAGCCAGGCCGACACGCGAAGCCTGGCGCCTACCACGGGGCTGGCCCGGAGCTTCAGCCAATAAAGACATGGCGAGTGAATGCATGCATGCATGCATGCATGAATGAATGAATGGAAAGTTATTGTAGGGCAGCCCTCCAGGGGGCTCTGGTTTAGAGAATTCGGGGCTAAGTCTCTTGACTGCCAGGCAATGGTCCTTCCATCCAGAGGCAGCTGCTCTCCATCCCAACCAGACCATCCCCTCGTCCTGGCAGCGGTGGGCACCCTCCCCTCCCCCTCCCTGTCCTGGCGGCGGCGGGCACCTTCCCCTCCCCCTTCCCTCTCCTTGTGCCGGCGGTGGGCACCCTCCCTCCCCTCTCCTTGTGCCGGCGGTGGTGGGCACCCTCCTCTCCCCTTCCCCCTCCCTGTCCCGGCGGTGGCAGGCACCCTCCCTCCCCTCTCCTTGTCCCGGCGGTGGTGGGCACCCTCCCTCCCCTCTCCTTGTCCCGGCGGTGGTGGGCACCCTCCCTCCCCTCTCCTTGTCCCGGCGGTGGTGGGCACCCTCCCTTCCCTCTCCTTGTGCCGGCGGTGGTGGGCACCCTCCTCTCCCCTTCCCCCTCCCTGTCCCGGCGGTGGCGGGCACCCTCCCTTCCCTCTCCTTGTGCCGGCAGTGGGCACCCCCCTCCGCCCTCCCCTCACCTCATCCCAGCGGTGGGTCTCCACGTGCAGCTGCACCAAGGACCGCAGGTCGCCGATCTTCAGGTAGGTCTCAGCGGCATAGCTAGGGTGGTCCAGTTTCTTGAAGTAGCGAGCACACATCAGCAGGGGCTCCCGCTCAGCCTTGTCCAGCTTCCGGGCAATGTCGATCAACCTGGAGGGAGGAACCCATGAGCGGCCGACGGAAGGAAGCGGAGTAGCTTCCCATCTTCTCAAGGGCACACTCCATGTCTGTTCATTCTGCTGAGTCCTGTCTAACAGCGCCACGGCCCAGGGAGACGCCAGGTCATTAAGTGAAGGAACACATACTCCAGTCAGGGACCCCCAGGGCCGCCTGGGAAGACATGGTCTATACCTCATCTGTCTTTCACGTGAGTTACCATGCTACTCGGCGGTATCTGGGAATAAACATAAAATGCGTATGGAACCCTGGTCAGGAACCAAGACGGCACCTGAGCTTTCCGGGCGTGGCCTCACCGAATCCTCGCCACCCTTCTCTTATTCCCGGTTTGCACACGAGATGACCTTAAGTCTGGGGGAGGGTGACGCTCGGCCTGGGCTCTTCAGGCAGGAAGCAGCTCTGTGCTCTTCTTGCCATGTCAGATTTTCACAGGAAAGCAGAAGCCAGGGGTGAGCGCTGCTCAGAGCCTGGCACTCTGTGCAAGAGGCCTGGGAGGAAGCTCTGTTCTCCTCCTGGCCAAGCTGCAGGCCGCAGGGTCCAGATGCTCCCCGCAGCTTCTCAGTGGTGGCCGGCCTGCCCACGGCTCACGGGGACATGGGCTGAATGGAATGCTCTGCGGGGTTCTGGTCAGCCCGGGGCTTGGAGTAAAACCAAGGCGGGGAAGGGGCTCTACCCAGCTGGCTCCACGTGAGGAAGGAGAAGCGGCGAACGCAGACAGGCAGGCTCAGGGCGGCCTGTGAGTCTGCACTTAAAATAATAATGGCATCTAAAAATAACTCGCTCTGCAGAAAGAGAATATGTTTTCTGGGAAAGGTGGCACAGGCAGCCCCTTGGAGCCCCCACCCATCAAACCCACCTTCTACAGCCAGGCCTGGAGAGGGGCAGCACACCCCCGCTCAATGCGTTAAGGGTCCCCAGAGTACTTGCACACCAATGCACCCCGGGGCTGGCCAGTGGGCGCGGCCAGGACCCCGAGTGTGCCTGGCACTCATCTGTCATCTATTTTGTGGAAAGAAAACTTCGGGGGACATGATCAGCACCTCTTCTTGGCTTGAGAATGGAGTGGTGGGTTCCAGGTAAGGGCCCTTGGTGAGCCTGCAGCGCTCGGGAAGCCTCGGGCGCCCACTCTCACCTCCTGCCCAACTGTGGTGACGCACGCGCGCACACACACGCACACGTGAGTGCACGTGAACTCCAGTCCTCCTTCGAGTGCCCGAGGCTGAGCCCTGCTGTCCCAGCACAGCCCCGCCCACCCCTCACCCAGCTCTCTATCTGGTTAACTGGCATGGCCCCGTGGCACAGAGTACCTCTCCTTCTAGTTCTTCCATTTTCTCGTGCCCTCGGCCTACCATAGTCCATCCTGGTCTACTTGCTTAACTTTGCTCCACCCTACTGGGGGGGGTCTCGTGACCTTGCACCAGAGCCTGCGCCATGTGCCCACCCTTCCCCCGCTGGCTGCTCCAGGGCCCGCACGCTGTCCCTGTGTTCCTCCCGCCTGTGCTCCCCTGCTGTCCCTGTGCTCCTCCCGCCTGTGCTCCCCTGCTGTCCCTGTGTTCCTCCCGCCTGTGCTCCCCTGCTCCCCACTCCCCCCCCCCACCAATGTTAATGGCTTCAGATCTGCTCCTCCAGGCCAGACATCCGTGGGCCAGGACTCTTCCTGGTTCTCTTTGGTTCCTATCATTATACGTGTGGTGGACACTGGGACCACCCACTCCAGTCGGGGCTCTCTGCCAATCTCCCTGCTGCTCCCTCTTTGGTGGACAGCCTCACTGTCTTCCTTCGCAGGACCGGTGCGGAGGCACCGACCCGGAGGTGGAGGAGGACGCCAGGCCTGGGTGGCCACCTCAGCCACACACAGCCTGGGCCCTGCGCGGCCCCTTGCCCAACGCCCCTCTCCAAAGGAGCGTCTGCCTTGCTCAGACTCGGTGCCACCCAGAACCGAGGTGCTTTTACAGTTGGCTCAGACACTGTGCTTTCTCCTGTCAATCAAAGCTCAGAGCTGACATGAGGTGACAGGCTGCCGAACGCGCCCCGGGGTGCGGCTCAAACCTACATGTCAACCCAGCCGTGGTCGCCGCTCAGCTCGATGGCCTTGGCGTGCTCCCCCGCGGAGACGTACATCTCCACGGCCGCTTTGGGCTCGTGGATATTCCTGGCCCAGTCAGCCTGCTTGGTGATTAGCATCTTTGTTTCTTTGGGGTCTCCAGATCCAAGGAAATCCTGAGGAAGCACAACAAACAAAAACACTCCGGATTAGGACTTCCTGTGCCAGCATGACGTCAGCTCCCGAGAGCCGGAGCAGGGACGGGCTCCGCGTGGCTGTGTGGGCAATCGGGGTGCAGGCTGGAGCCCAGCCCTGCTCACTGAGTGGGGGTAGGCCAGGTGTGTGGGAGGGACGCTCACGGGCCGCCCGCAGATGTTCCAGGGGGAGGGGAGAGGACCAATGTCCAGGACTGTGGCCGTCTGTTTCCTGCCCTTCATACACGGAGCTCAGCAGGGAAGGCCTGAACTCTGCAGGGCTGCACCCAGTGCCACGGGAGTGCAGGACCAGCGTGCACGTGGCTGTTCCCGGACCATCTGTCCAGTGCTGACAGCCCTGTAATCTTCATTCACATAATAAGGGCGACACCACATTCCTCAGGCTGGGGTTGAGCATGGGGTCTCCTAAACCTAACCCGTAAAATGATGTGCAGAGCTGTAGGCTCAACCCTGGCTCTGAATGCCCGCCACCCCTGGCTAGCGACACACTTCAAGTGTGTTCCCCATCCATTGTGTGAATCTGGGAGGCCGCCACATTGGCATGGCCTCCTGGGCACAGACTGGCCGAGGACCGACAACAAGCAAATCTCCAATGGCTTGTTCCCTCCAAGCGGCCTCAGGTCCATCCTGAGATCAGGTCTGCCTAATGGACACTCCATATACAGAGGGACGGCGGGCGCCCACAGAGGGCCTGAGGCAAGGGAGGAGAGGCCCGTGGCCCCAGAGGCTCAGATTGGGGTGTGGGGTCTGAGTTCCTGCCTGCCCCCCCCCCCCAGTAACACCTCCCTGGGAAGCAGCATCAGAAACCTGCTCTCAGGACGGAGCTGCTGCTGAGACAGCCCTGGTGCCGACATTTGTGAAGGTGGGCCTTTAGCCTAGATCTGCATTACTGCTTAGAAACTTCGTCTCAGGAAGAACGTATCCTACCTGAGTGCTCTCAGCCTCCTAGTATAGAAACACACGCCGCTCTGGTGATTACCACTCACTTGTCAGGAAAGCGCAGCCAATGTACGCTAAAAACCCACTTGAACAATTAGCTCATTTCTTTTTCCATTTGCTTTTAGGGTAATTATGTAGCCCCTGAAATCATACATTAGGTCTGCCCAAGAAAAGCAAATGCTTCTGGGAGGAGGGGAAACATCATTTTACCCCAATGCTGGGCACCCAGGCCCCGTCAGGGCTGCCCTGGCTGGCCTTCGACCGCCCAGAGGGGCCGGGGCTACAGAACAGCTGCTGAGTACACCTGGCTAGGCGGCTCCTGCACGCTTGGTGGCCACGACTCCGTCAGACCCAAGCTGAGCACTGCCCACCTGGCTGCCTCAGTAAGGCTAGTGGCGGCTAGGATAGAAATGTCCTCCAAAGTGGCTGCTCAGAGGTCTTGGGGTGACTGAGAGAAGGGCCAGAGGCCCGGAGGGGGCCCGAGCATGGGGCATCCCCCCCCCCCCGGGACCGCGTGGGCTGTGGCTGAAGGAGCCTCGCTGCGGGGAGGGGCGCAGCCCCAGCCCGCGGTTCAGCTCAGGGGCTGTGGCTTAATTGAAGCTGAGTCTAAATGGTTCCTTCGAGGCTCAACAAAGTAGGTTTTCAAAAGCTCTTTGGTTCCAGGGAGCTAATTTACACGTTATCTGGGGGCCTCGGTGAAGACTTTGTCCTGAAGTGGACAGAAAGAGGCTGTGCTGAGTGATGAATGAGACTAAACAGGGCTCTCATGCTTGGTGATTTTGATAAGGACATACTACATAAGAGTTAAGAGCATTATAATTCCCTTTATCACCATATAAACATGTCACTTATCCGGAAAGCATACAATTTATTTGTACGTGGGAATGTAATTTAAAAATTTTCCGAAAACCAGATTGAATCTTGGGAAGCAATTTTCAAGTAAACAAAAACATGCCATGTTAATAAGCACTGTGTCCCCCCAACATAATATTAGTGTATGTACGCATTTTCTCAAACACAGACTACGGGGGTGCGGGGCGTGCCTGAAATGGAACCCACCTACTTAAAACCCAACACAAGCCCTGAGAGTTACCTTCACGGAGACAGAGCAGATTGCCTCTGTGAAGGGGCTACACTGCTGGGTAGAAATTCTAGGTGAAGCATGAGAAGGATGAAGGGTTCCCAGAGCAGGGACGGAGGGGCTGGCCCTCTGAGGGGGAAATGGAGGCACCCGGGACCCCTGGGAAGGGACCCCTGACACACATTGCATTCTGGATGCCAACAAAAGCATTTCTGACTAAGCCACAGCTGCTGACTTGGGGAGACAGCAGCGGTTCGAGGCATTAGCCCCAAAGAACTAGCAGGCCCGGCCGATATTGGTGTCTAAATTCTACCTCTGGGGAGCCATCCTTTTAGTTTAATGCTTTGTTCCCAGCTAAGAGGAGATCTACTGAGTTTGCTCTGTTGTTACATGTATGCACTCCTGGTGGTGTGTGTGTGTGCATGCGTGCGTGCGTGTGCGTGTGTGTGTGTGTGTGAAGGAATGGGGGATCTGGCGAAGGTGAAGCAGATGAAGAGAAGGCAGGGGAGCAGGAAGCCTCCGGATCTGGGGCCCAGGCAGGCCCCAGGTGCTTGGCCTCAACACGACCAAGCCCAACTCAAGCTACCAGATGGCGGAAGAGAGAAGAACCCGACCATCCTTAGGAACAGACAAGCAGAACAAATGCGGAGATCCTCCGTCTTCAACTTGTGAGCTGGGCGATGACCATGAGTGGCCACAGCATGGCTGTGGCTGGCACCTGGCTTTCTACGCACCTGAGCCGTGAGCGGGGACAGGTGGAGGGCGCCCCTCCGCGGAGGAAGAGCTCGCTGCTGCGCAGGCCCTGGGTGGGTTCTCTGCCCCGTGCCGCGCTGGGCTGCAGGTTACATTTGGCTGCTGGCAATGTAGCTCAGCCTCGCCCTTACCTCCACAGACACCATCTCGGGACTCCCTGCCTGCCTACCTCAGATCCAGAAGCTTCCGCTGCCTCTGTCTTTCCCTCTTCATCTTCCTACTCTCTGCCACCTTTCTACCCATGCACACAGACGAGCCGTGACGCCTGGCTGTCCCCGGCTCCCTAGGTGTGACTCTGTCTCACAGGTGCCGACAAAGAGACTAACCTTGAGGAAGACCCCAAGTGCAAACAGGGAGTCGCTACCATCCCCTCCCCCATGTGGAGCCAGCAAACCCTCCTGGAATGGTGGGGCACACTGTGCAGTACAACAGGGCCCCAGGAGCGTGTCCCCTGCCTGGCTGAGGAGCTGGGGGCCACTGTCGGGCTGGGGGGCCTTCGCGGGAGACGGCCTTGCACTGCGGTAGCTCAGCATCGCCCACGGCCGTTCTCCGACCCTCTGAGCTGCCCCTTCTACGCCAGCCTTCAAGGTCGGCTTTTGCTCGGTGTCAACAGTGCCCTGGAGGGTCCTTTGCTCACTGCTTTCCCGGTGCCCTTCCTGAGGCCACCGTGCCGCCAGCCGCGGCACACGGCGTGGACGATACAGGTGAGAGCCGCGGGCTCGGGCGGCGGCCTGGCCCAGCGGGTGGTGGGTTACCTTGGCATAATCGAACATGCAGAGGTTGGTGTACATGTCCAGTGCGAGGCTCTCGTGCCCGCTCCTCCTGTACAGTTTGGCGGCCTCGTGGAACTTCCCCTGGTAGGCGAACACATCTGCCAGAAACAGGTCATTGTTGCTCTCGCCCCGCTTCTTCCTCTCCTGGAAAATCAGAAGCACGGGAAATGGCCTCCGTGGCCACAGGCAGGAAGCAGCCTGTACAAAGGCCGCTGCTGCTATTTCGAGCAAAGCCCTGGGCCTTCCAACTGGAGCCCACGCTTGGCTCCCACTGCTGTGTCCCCTACGCATTTGTCGGGACACTGGACAACAAAGACAGACTAAAGCTTAAATTAAAAAACAAAAAGCAAACCTTTGTTTGATGGAAATTCCTCAGCTCTGCTTTCCTGCATATGCTTTCAAGGCACTGACTGGGCTGCTTGGACCGTGGGCCACTCAGACCATGTGCACTGCCCCCCCCCCTTGATGTCCCTAAGCCCCAAGAACTCCTAGGCCTCCAAGCCTGGCTGGTGGGGTTGTGACCTAGGATGGTGACAGAGGAGAAAACCTACGGCTTCTCCCAAGGTGGCGATCATTACGATAGTGGTGCAAGTGTTACCGTGTTTCTAGAGAGAAGGTTAAGAAAACTGGGGGGGCCAGACACCGCTAGGTCCTGGATCGTACTTCACACACGCACTCTGGCTTTTAGTGACCTCAACATTACCAAAGAACTCCAGTGAAGTTCAAGGCAAGGTATAGGTCAAGGTCAAACTGACATTTGGGCTCCCTTCTGCTTGTTTCCATAGCCCTGTGTTCAGAAGGACACACAGTCCCCAACAGCACAGCACCCCTGGGTGCGCATGTGTGTGGTGGCAGGTTGCCAGCATGTGCACACCGGGCTGCGCTGGGATGGAGGGAGGTGCCCGCACACCCCTTCCTCCTGTGTTGGAGAACACTCACTCATCTACAGCTCAAGTATCTGTAAACACTCCACGGCACCCGGCCCCTCGCCCCAGCCGTTGCCTCATGCTTGTTTTCCAGCAAGCGCATCAGAGTGGAGGAAGATGAGACACGGAACCAAACTCCTAGACAGGCCGCGGAACACTTTAACAGCTGGAGGCAACAGGCTTTTCCACTGACAAATAATTAAACACATACACACACCCTTCACTCGGTTCTGGCTAATCAGCCAAATAAACTACCTTCTAATAGCTAGAAATGAATTAAAATCCGGCAGTGGAAAAAAAAAAAAAAAAAGGAGGATTCCGCAGGCCTCGCTGAGGCCGGCCACGCCGAGTGTGGCCATGGTGGTGCTCAGCAGTAGATGGCCACCCAGCAGCTTCTCCTTAGCTCACAGCGCCCTAGCAGCTCACCTAGCCAAAAGGAGCTCCTGAGGGACAGCGGCCCCCTAAGAAATGCTAAACACCCAGAAGCAAGCAGCCACAACCTCGGAGCAGACAGAGGGGTCACTGGAAGGTGCTTTGCTTTCTTCCAAGTGCCCGGCTCCGAGCAACCTGGAGGAGGCATTCTGAGCTAGGAAATGATGAATGACGGGAGCGGGTCCTCACAAACGCCAACTACTGTGTAGAGAAAAATTATGTTCCATAGATCTGGCTCTAGACCCCTGGGCTCCCGGCCAGCTGATTTCCAAGTGCCAGGCCTGAGAGCAGACCCCACGATGGGGGACAGCAGCCCCTCCTCACACAGGAAGACAAGCGGAGGGGATGGGCGGTGCCCTAGGGCCAAGACAATCCACCTGGGAAACTCAAGAATAGAAGCTGGGTGCCCCTGGGGAGGGGGCGTGGCCTCCCTGAGCCCCAGCCCCCTCAGCCTTTCCACTAGCAGTGATGCCCACTGGTAGCTGAGTGCGCATTTAGAGCAGCGCACACAGCTTAGTCCCAGGACACGGGCCCACCCAACCAATGGAAGCTCCTCACCACTCACAGGGGTGCAGGCGGGGTGCCCCTGCCAGCCTCTCCCCTGCTCAGCCCTTGCCTACCGGGCGGATGACAGGTGTTTATTATGCTGAACTGAATTAGAGGGACAAGACATTTGCTAATTTCCTCACTGCTTCCATCTGGGAATTCAAATGTGTCTCGCATTCCCTTAGCCTCACAATAAATCTGTTCGGGAGAAAAAAAAATATATGTAGGCCTTTTTACAGACAGTCAGACAGCACTGCGATACACAGAAATTAAAAATAGTGCCTACCATCACCCATAAATGGTGCGCTTAGAAACAGCTCCTCCAGCCCTACCAGGCCTCCTGGCTTGACAGACACGGGCCAGGCCGGGGTCCTCTGCGCAGGGGGACCTGGGAGAAGCCTCCTACCCCGCCCAGTTACTGGGTAGGGGGGCACAGAAACCAGCTAACCACCGCTGCAGAGACACCAGCTTGGCACCTAGGGTCTACTTCACCCTTACAATCCTGGGGGAGGGGAGCGGACCCACGTCACAGTACACCAAATCCACCCTCCTCATCCGAGTGACAGGCCACACCCCTCCCTCCACAGGGGTGCTGTCTCCCATGTGGTCACTCTGCCCCCCACAGCCGACACCTGTGGGCTGTGTGCTGCTGGGCTCAGGGCAGGGGCAGGAGCCCGTGGCTTCGCGTTTACCTCGATGCTGCTGATCAGCTCTAAGTAGCGCAGGTCTTGGACTCTGGTGAAGGCCTGCAGGAAAGAAAGAATGGAATCAGCCGCCTTCTCTGTTTCAATAGTGGGCGACTGGCTGGGGCGGGACGCCAAGCTCCAGACAGGGAGCCAGCAAGGAGGGGAAGCAAGCATTGATTAATCATCTGTGTTTGGGAGGTTTGCCACCCAGCAGACTCACTTTATCCTGAAGATTAGTCCATGCAAAGAACGGCAAGGAAGTTCTGGTTGCAGCCACCCTTTGGGATTGGGTGAAGTAAAACCCTGACACGGCAGCGGGGCGGGCAGGGAAGGCTGGGAGGCCGGGGTCTGGGCCAGGGGCCGTGGCGGGAGTGGGTGAGACACACGGGCAGGGGCTGCATGTATATGGCTGGCAACTTGAAGAGGAAGCAAAGGACAACTCTCCTCCCACGAGGGTGCCATGAACACAGGGCACAGAGCACACACAGCTCACAGGATGGTTGGCAGGCGTGGGGGGGGCAGGTTGGGGGGGGAGCAAAAGAGGAAGAAAGCAAGAAGGCCCTTGAGGAGGGGGGATGGTAGGGAATGAATCACTCCAAGTCTGGAAGGCAAACTGTTACGCAAACCCAGTGGTGCAGCCGTGCTTTGCTTTAACCCCTGGCCTGCTAGCAGTTTCTATTTGCAGACTGACCGAAGGCTGCTCTTGCCGCTTCAGGTCCCCCATGTGGCCTGCGTTCCCCCAACTGGCCTTTCACACTGTCCCTATGAAAGTCTGCAATGCCTAGAGGCAGCAGCAGGCCCAGGAGTCCTGGGGATTCACATCCGGGCCCCTGAAGGCCTAGCTTAGCTGCATGACACCCCCTCCCCGCAGTGTGACTTCATCGCCTTGCCCCATGGGGCCAGCCTCTGTGGGGGGGGGGAGAGGAGGCTCTGTGATGAATTGTGTGGCCTCTGTCCCCCCCCCCCCCCCCCCCCCCCCGTCCCTGCTCAGGGCCCACAATGGAAAAGGGGAGCTTGGCAGATTAAACAGGTCACTAAATCTCCCGAGCTTACAGCTATAGGAGCGGGAGCAGATTCCCTTGAGAAAATATAGGCACTGTACTGGGGAGCCGGCAGGATTAAGTAAAGCATGCACAGCAGGGAGCCGGCAAGTGGATTTCTTTTTCTTTCTTTTCTTCTTTTGCTGAAGACAGCTCTCATCATGTTCCCTGGGCTGGTTTCAAATTGGGCCAGGCGCGTGCCACAGGGCCCAGCGAGGGGCAGACCTGCCCACAGCAGCAAGACTCCACTGTGGTCTTAAACCTGACCTCCTGGATTCGAGATCAGGAGGTGTCATTAGAGTGCTGCCATGACAGTAGCTGGCACTCGGGGTCCTGGCTCACTCTGAGGCTTTCTGGCCAGGAGCCCTGAACCTACTTCCTGCTTCTGGGCTCCGGCGGCCTCCTTGTGAACCCGGGAAGCGAGTGATGCCTCTTCCCAGGTCTTTCAATTCTGCTGTGCTGGGTTCTGGGACTGGAGCGATCCCCGTGAGAACTTTCCTTCTGTGCTCCTTCGGCCTGGCCACATCCGCGCGGCCAGGTGCCGGGCCAGCGGTCAGAGTCTCAGAGTCACAAGGTCTGTGGGTGAGGAGTGGGTGGCAGGGCGGCAGGGCAGCGGCCCAGGCCACGCTGAGCAGCCCTCCTCCGCCACCTAGTGGCCATGCCCATCTCAGCCTGTGTGCAGAGGGCCTGGTGCGGTGCAGAAAGAGGCTGGGAATTCAGAACTGAAATAGTCCCCAATCCTCAAATCCTTAGAATACACAAATAATTTCCATTTGTCAATTAAAACGTCAGCACTTTTCAAAATAATCGTGTGCTCTAACACAAGCTTTTCTATGCCTAGGGAGTGTTTCATGATACAGGATGGGGTGTGAATGAACGTAGGGTCATATTCTACTTATGTTTCCGTCCATTCAAACATCCCAGCAGTGTGAGCCAGGCACTGTGCCAGGCAGTGTGGAGTGGTACCAACAGGGCTGGATTCCTAGGCCTCCTAAGGAGCTCACCATCATTCCACTTCATCCCCAGCTACAACAAACTACACACAGCCCACGAAGCCTGCTCTTGTTCTTCTTTCCTCCTGGCATTTCTGGGCAGGGCAGATGCAGCTCCGCCAGGGAGAGGAGGCCTCCACTCTCCTGTGAATTCTTAAAGCTCCCTGCTATCACTCACACTTAGTCCCCTTTAGCAGACCTGAAAATGCCACGTAGGTAATTGTTGGACGTAATGACCATTTCCCTTTCTTGTGTTGGGGACGGAACGTGGAATCCAGGGCCTTGCACCTGTTAGGCAAGCTCCAGCACTGAACCACACTCCCTGTGCTTGCCAGAACGTGGCAAGCATTTGCGCAGCCATTCCCAGTTTCAGCTTCCTAGCAGTTAGGCCTCAGTAATTCTCAGGGCCTTTCACCACCGCTGTCTGAGAAGCTGCTTGCCCGGGCCCGGAGGGCGGAGCTGGCCCCAGCCTGATGCTGAGCCTTGCTCTTGTCCATTCTACGTTCTGCATTGCGTGCAAGTCTTGACCAGCCCCAGGTGGGACCACATACCTCTCTGGAGCTCCTTCTATACCAGTCCAGTAGCATGGGCAAAACAAGAGGAGAAGAGGGGGAAGGGTGGAAAGCCATTCCTTCCTCTACCTCAGGTCCTAGATGAAAAGCCAGCTCAGAAATACACCTGGGCTTTTTCTAACATCCAGAGATGGGTGGAATGTTTTCGGCCATTTGTAACTTTAACTGAACTACACCAGGAAATGATATAATGAACCAAGCGGTGAGCAGTGCGGGGAGAGCCCACACTGTTGTCGGAACCTCCACCACCACACTCACTGAGTGCTGCGAACAAGTGTTTAACGAATGGCCCGGTGCGTGCGGCGATCATAAAAGCTGCCCTCTATTGAATGCCTACCTCGCAGTAGGCTTTTATCTATATGTTACATAAATAATCGCTAATAAAACTGACAGCCAGAGTCTACCAGATGCTTCTTCTGTGCCTGTCTTGACCAGCACTGTCAGTTTACATTATTACGACTTTGGGAGGATGGGGCCTGGCACCTCCAGACTCCTCCACAGAGGCCTTCTTAGAAAGCATGCGATCTGCCTCATCTCACAGAGAGGAGGGAGCTAAGCTGCGGTCAGAACCCAAGTGAGTCTAACGCTGCAGCCAGCCACCCGGCCATGTCGCCTGGACCCCTCCAAGGATGGAATTCCAGGTCAGTTAGCTGGATGCCTACCTTCTTTGCGGTTTCAAACTCTAGTCCTTCTAGAGCCTCCATGGCCAGCTCACGCCAGTCAGTGTCTGTCACACCCAAGCAGGCAATCTGGTAGGCTTCTTTGAACATTTTCTTTTCCAGGTACTGGTACATCGGAGCAGACTGCAGGATTTCATCAGAGGGAGAAGACGCTTTTCAGAGCCATGGGAAACTGAGTCTACCTCCAGATGTGTGCAGGGATTGCATGACAATGTCCTGCCCGGCCCTGCCACGGAGGTGCGCGCCCCAGCCCACATGCACCACAGACTTCCTGTCCATCCTTCCCTCCTTCCGTCCCGCTGCCCCATCCCAGGCCGCCCCGCCACAGGTGACACCCTCTCTACCCTACAGAAAAATATCTTTCATGGCCCTGTTAAAAGTGTCACTCGTCTGGAAACTTCTATGGCCCCTCATTCTCCCACCCCAAAGGTTGGCATCTGAGCTTCCTCTCCTCTGTCTAGATTGGAGATACCCTTCTGCCTGCCCCCCCCCCCCCACTGTCAAGGCCCTGCACTGTGGACTGCAGTGGGTGGTACTCACTTTCCCCAGCAGGCCGTCAGTCCCTGTATTACATGAATGCCTGACACTACTGGGATGGTATCTTCCCAGAGAGCCACAGTCTGAGAACGGCAATGGATTTCTCCAGCTCACTCTGGAGAAAAGTCCCCTTGGTCTCTGGTGCCGTGGGCCCAACTCCCTCCAAGAACGGCTGTCTTGTTAAATACCTGTGATTAGTTCCTAGTGACTTTTTTACTGTTTCAAATTGCCTTTGCATTTCTTTGAATAATCATGTGCAAGCCTGTTCCTATACCCTGAATCCAGACAGGGCACTGGGCTCAGGGAGGTCACCTGAGTTGCTGAGAACATCGAGCTGGCAGACGGGCAACCTGAGGCTGGAGTGAGAGGTGAGCTGATTCCAGGTCCAGTGTGTGCGCATGCTCTCCCCATGTGTGTGCACATGTGTGTGCAACACAGCAAGCCTGGGCTGGGCCCAGGAGTCTTTCATGAAGGGCCCTGTCCTGTTGGCTAATGTGCTTCAGGGACCTGTGTCTCTCCGCTGGACTCCCCGGCGGTGGACATCAATCAGATGCTACCTCTGAGCTAATGGTTCCCAAATGTGGAGTTCAAGGGCTGTTTTCTCTATTTGGGGCCTTTGTCTTTGAAATTTCCGGTCCTACTTTTTTAGCTTTAGAGCTGAAGGGAACTTTTTTTGTTTTAAGCGGTCCATCCCGTGACGGTGGTGCGGGCGGCTCCGTGGCTGGCTTGTCTTTCCCACTGTGCTGCGCACCCCTTTCCGGGACGCAGCAGTGCGTGGCAGCTGGGAGCAGCCAAGCTAGAGTGCCATCCTAGCCAGCTCCTTCTGGGTAAAGCCATTTCCTCCGTTTGGATGCCCTGCCCGCTCAGGCTACCAAGGGCAAAGGAGAAGCACTCTGAAAGTGACCAGTGCTAGGTCCAAAACAAGCACGATCCTTTCCTGTCTGTTCTCCATGCTGGCCTGCCCGCTCTGTAACTCTGGATTGCCCCCATCTGCCTGCTGCTGTGGCCTGTACAGACCGGGCCCCCCTGCCCCCCGCCAGGCCCCGAGTCTCGGCCTCCCCCGCGTTCCCAGCTTTCTCTTCTAAACTCCATTCGCAAGTACCCTTCGGTCCAATTTAGTCTCACTATTTTATGGCCATCTGTAATAAGGAGAAATAATCATAGGAATCAGGACAGACAAAACCTGAAGATGGGTATAATTAGCTCCACTGCAAGCTGGACACATGATGCGGCTGGTGCACGTAGCTGTTCTGGAGGCTGGCAATTTTGAGACCAGCGTGGGCACATGGCAAGACTGTCTTAATAAACAAATATATACATATGTATATTTTATATATATATATATAATATATATATATATATATATAAAGCCCCATTTCACAGGGGAAAAAATGACAGGAGTGCTCGGGACACAGCTGGTTTAGGTGGCAGACTGTCCCGGGGTGGTGCCAGGCACAGGGCCAGGCACCCTGCAGTACCAGAACGGCCGACAGCTGCCACAGGACCTGCTTAGGGCCCCTCTGTGCGCCCCTTCCTGCACGTGTGAAGTCACCCCGCCCGCGGAAGCTGGCGGCCTCGCTGCCCTACTTGGCAGCTCAGACCAACCAGTGCTTGCACAAGATGATGTCCATTTCAAAAGGAAACCAAAAATCCCAAGAGCCAGACTGGGTTCTTTCCTGGCTCTGGAGGCCCAAGCCACAGGATGGCTGGGGGCTGAGGCAACAGATAAACAGCCTTTGTCCTGAGATCGCCCTTCCTCACCCTTGGCTGCGGGGCCTGCTGCAGCAGCCGGAGGCTCTGGGCGGCCATGCCAAGCCCTGGCTGCTGGCAGAGGAAGCCTGGGGCCCCGTGGCTCCTCTAGGCCGGCTGAAGCCAGGGAGCAGAAAACTGCATTTGTGTTTGAGGTCAGGATGGCAGTTTCGGGGAAAAGCCTGTCAATAAGCACTGCCTGAGTAGCACAGCTCAGTCGGAGCGAGGCCTGGGCGGGATGCGGCTGGGAAAGGAGATTGGCCAGGAGACATCACAGGGGTGCACTTGCCACCTGCCTCAGCTCCCCCAGGGGTCTCTCTCTCTCTCTCTCTCTCTCTCTCTCTCTCTGTCAGTCCTGGGGCTTGAACATAAGGCCTGGGCGTTGTCCCTGAGCTTCTTTGGCTCAAGGCTAGCACTCTAGACTTGTGCCACTGTACCACTTCCGGTTTTTTCTGTGTATGCAGTACTGGGGAATGGAACCCAGGGCTTCACTCATGCTAGGCAAGTACTCCAGCCTGGGCAGGACAGTCCATAAGACTTTTTTTTTTCTTTTGTCAGTTGTGGGTCTTGAACTCTTTGCCTGGGCGCTGTCCCTCAGCTCTTCAACTCAAGGCAAGTGCTCTACCACTTGAGCCACAGTATCACTTCTGGTTTTCTGGTGGTTAATTAGAGATAAGAGTCTCACAGGCTTTTCTTGCTTTGGCTGGCTTGGAACCGAGATCCTCAGATCTCAACCTCCTGAGTAGCTAGGATTACTGGCGTGAGCCACCAGTGCCCAGCAGTCCATGAGACTCAATCTCCAATAAACTACTTAGAGAAAGCCAGAAGTGGTACTGGGGCTCGAGTAGTAGAAAGCGCTCTACCACTAAGCCACATTTTCAGCCTCCTGGGTATCTCTTTTGCTTTCTCTTTCCCTCCTGTTTCCTCAAATTGGAACCCATGGCCATTGCTTCCATACCTGCTCTCGGGCAGGCCCCGTAGAGGACAGGGCTCTAGCAATCCTGTAGAAAGCCAGTCAGGCCTCATAGCTCTTTGGGGGCTGGCCAGCTACGTGCACGGCATGTGACTGACTGGCAATCAAGCGGTGGCAATCGGGATGTGTCACATCTCGAGCTGGACACAGCCTTTGTCCCAGCTACTTCACTTCTAGGATTTATGCCACAGAGCTCAGCGGAGACAGACGCAGAGCTGGCAGATGCTAGCTATGGATGAGAGCAGCTTAAATGGGCAGTAAGTGATGGTCAAGTAGGCCAAGGAACACCCTGTGACAGGACCCACGGCCGTCGATGCCCACAGAGCTGGGGTGGGAAGCAGGGGGAGGTCACACAGAGCTGGGGTGGGAAGCAGGGGGAGGTCACACAGAGCTGGGGTGGGAAGCAGGGGGAGGTCACACAGAGCTGGGGTGGGCAGGAGGAGGAGAGTCACACCAACAACTGCATCATCACAAGCTCTCCCCACCCCACCCCCACTCTCGGCAGAAACTGGGCAAAGTGCAAAGAAATCGCTGACATTTCTTACACATATACAAAGGTCTATAGTCAACTTCTGCTGACAAATGCTGGCAGTCCATTCATTGGCACAAGACCACATATCTAGTAGATGGCTGGATGGAAAAGTCCAATACTGATTTACAGCCAATAATTTACAAAAAGAGATGGGTGTGTAATATCTCCATGTTGGGTTAAACTTGTGGCATTAAGGAAGGTGGATGAAAAGTATCCATCTCTTGCTTAAAGTCCACCCAGGAAACTGGGTGGATAAAATCTGAGATTTTATCTTTGGGTAGAAATGCGTTTACAGATAAAAGTTAAAAAAAAAAGCCGTATTCTACTCAGTTTAGAAATGCCTAAAGTCACCAGGTACCAGTGGCTCACGCCTATAGTCCTAGCTATTCAGGAGGCTGACATCTGAGGATCATGGTTCAAAGCCTCCACAGGTAGAAAAGTTAGTGAGACTCTTATCTCCAACAAAGTACTCAGAAAAAGCCAGAAGTAGTGCTGTGGCTCAAGTGGTAGAGTGCTAGCCTTGAGTACAAAGAGGCTTGGCAACAGTATCCAGGCCCTGAGTTCAAGCCCCAGGACTGGCAAAAAAGAAAAAAAGGAAGAGAAAGAGAGAGGAAGGGACGGAGGGAGGAAGGGAAGAAGGAAAAAAAAGTTACTTGTATCCGCAGACAAGCCTGAGTGGATACATTCCCAAACACTTAAGAATGATTCTCAGGTGTGGTGACCGCACACCTGCCATCCTAGCTCTTTACAGGCTGAGCCAAGAGGATCATGAGTTTAAAGCTAGCCTGTCTCAAAAAATAATTAATTAAAAAGATAAATAATTACATTAAAAATGATTCTTTGAGCCAGGAGCCAGTGGCTCACGCCTGTAATTCTAGCTACTTTGGAGGCTGAAATTTGAGGATCCCAGTTTGACGCCAGAGGAGATCTTGTCTCCAATTAACCAGCAAACAGCCAAGCATGTGGGTGTAGCTCAAATGGTAGAGTACCAGTCATGAGAGGAAAAAGCCAAGCAGAACCAGAAGCCAAGCAGCACGTGCACGCGCACGCACATGTGCGCACGCGCGTGCGCGCGCACACACACACACACACACACACACACCAAGGTTCTATGAGGACGGGATTCTGGGGTTCAAGCTTCTTTGTTCTCTGCGTTTGTCTGTTTTACGGTAGTTCTGTGGCAAGCACCATTCACTGGAGACAGTGGGCAGATAGGGCAGCTGGACTAGGCTAGCCACCAGGTAGGCTGTCACTCTGGGCTCTCCTGTCTGTCTGTCTGTCTCTAGTCTACTACGTGGTTCCATACTCCAGCCCAGGGAACTTGCTCAGGGTGCCATGCTCCCTTTTTGGCTCACAGACCTCAGCCTGGGCCCAAGCCCTTCTCTCTCTCTCTCTCACACACACACACACACACACACACACACACACACACACACGCATGCATGTGCACCCCTCACACCCATAAACCCGTGTGTTCAGGCATCCTCCAACTGGATGACTGCTGCCTGCTGAGCAGCGCCCCCTGCACCGGCTCCCAACCAGGAAGAGAATCAGAAGGAAACAGTGAACGCGAGCTGCTTGCTGGCGATGTGCAGGCTGCGTGGGGTGGTGACAGCGTGACGTCTCAGCTGCTGCTCCTCCCCCAGCACCAGGCCGGGGCCCAGCCTCCCTGCCCCGCTGCCCACCGCCAGAGGACGGCCAGGCGCCGGTTACCTGCGGCACTTCCACGGCAGTCATGGCGAAGACGTGCAGGCAGAAGATCTTGGAGCCATTGTAGCCGACCACGAAGCCCTGCAGCTTCTGCTGGTGCACAGGGAAGTTGCTGGCCTTGATGTTGAGGTAGCCCCCTCCCGAGAAACACAGCATGTCCTCACACTGGGTGTTCCAGGCCACGCTGTTGGCATTGGGTTCCTGAGGATGAGGACGGGGGGGGGGGTGAGGACCACCCTGGGCAGGGGCACCTCTCCCACACCCCAGTCAGGTCCCCTCCTGAAGACCAGAGATGCTGACGGTGGGGTGCAGGAGGCAGAGGAGGCAGGGACAAGGAAGAACCGGGCGAGGCCCACTGCTCTAGACACTGGCCATGATGACGTTTCCAAATAAGCATGACTTCAAAAGTTCTTCTTCTTCCTCCATTGTGAGTGGAAAATCAGCAAAGTAGGATTCAGTGAAGGAATAAATAAAGCTCGGAGGTGGCTCAGTGGCATAACACTTGCTTACCATGCCCAAGGCACTGGGTTCCGGCCCCAGCACCACAAGAATAAGCAAACAGGGCTGGGAAGGTGGCTCAGTGGTAGAGCGCTTGCCTTGAGGCCCTGGGTTCGATTCCTCAGCACCACATAAGCAAAAAAGAAAAAAGCCGGAAGTGGCGCTGTGGCTCAAGTGGTAGAGTGCTAGCCTTGAGCTGAAGAGCTGAGGGACAGCACCCAGGCCCAGAGTTCAGGTCCCATGACCGGACCCAAAAAAAAAAAAAGAATAAGCAAACAAACCAACAAACACCCCCACAAATGAAGACAGATGAAAGGGCTATACCCCATCGTGACTATTTCTTTTTTTTGGGGGGTGGGTCCGGTCATGGGCCTGAACTCTGGGCCTGGGTGCTGTCCCTCAGCTCTTCAGCTCAAAGCTAGCACTCTACCACTTGAGCCACAGTGCCACTTCTGGTTTTTTTCCTTGTTTATGTGGTGCTGGGGAATCGAACCCAGGGCCTCATGCATGCGAGGCAAGCGCTCTACCACTGAGCCAACTTCCCAGCCCCAAAGTGACTATTTCTGCATGGATGCAATTACGGGTGCTTTTATTTTTTTGTTTTTTGTTTGCCTAAATTTGTCACGAAGATCTGTTGGATTCTTTTTATAATAAGAACAAGATCAGGGAGTGCTTTTCAAAATTAGAAGATAATATGCCATGTGTACATTTACAATTCACATGCTAAATATCCAGGCACCCTGGGTGGGGCCCCCGAGGCCAGCAGAGTCTCTGGTAGCCGCGAGTCTCCTGCCTACTGCTAGGATGAGAAGACGGCGAGGGTGGCTGGGCACGCTCCTGTCCCCGGACAAGGTCTGAGACTCACCTGCTCTCGTCTCCGCAGAGGCTGTGGGCACAGGGGAGCCACACGCCCTGCCACCCTCACAGAGTCCTAGGCCCAGAGCACCCCTAGAGCCCACCAGCTAGGGGTGCAGGCATCCCTGGGGCATCCCCAGGACCAGCAAGAAGGCCCCTTTCATGCCCAGTACTGCGCCACCATTGCGGTATCTCACTTAATCCTGTAGCAATTCTGTGAGGGGACAATGACTAGTTTCATTTCAGGGAAAAGGAGCCATTGAGGCCTAGAATGGTTTATTAATGTGCTGAAGATCACACAGCAAATGGCGCAGGCAGGACTCAAGCCCAGGCCAGCTGAAAGGCAACCGACATGCCTTCTTTCCCTAAGCCACTCAGCTTCCTCTGTGATGGAGGCCAGAATGAGCTGAGAGTCACTTCTGGGGTAGCAGCCGCCGCCAGGTAACCTGCCCAACCGCGGTGCCTCTCCTCCAGGCCCCTCCACCCTGAGAGGGGACCTGGATCTGCCTGACCTTGGAAACCTGCTGTGGAAGCCAGCACACACAGGGTCCAGAGGTGGAGACCTGACTCACAAAGCCCAAAGAGACCAAGGGTGGCCCTAACCCAGCAGACCCTGGGGCCAGCCTCTGGACCTTCCTCCCCATGACACATGGCTAGCCACAGGTCAGTGTGCAGGCAACGCCTATCCCAAAGACCGCACCCGCTCCCGCCGGGCCACCTCTATGGCTTCCTTGTGATACAAGTACAGGGGATTCCGTGCTTTCAGATGATAAAGCTGACTGGGCCTCCTTGCTGGGCCTCCGGTCACACACACTACAGGCAGGCCTATAGAAGGGACCCTATGGCCCACTGGCCTGCCCGCTTGATTTCCACTTCATTTACTGCTCATTGTTGATGCAAGAAAGGGGCCACTTGCCCACTTACCCACAAAACAAAACAAAACAAACAAAAGAACACACAACGAGGCGGGGCTAGCCCAGCTGCTGCCAAGTCAGGGGGAGGCTGCAGGCCCGGCCCAGCACTGGATCTGCAACTGCTGGGAGCTGCAGCGCCCCCTGTAGGAACGGGGTCCCCGCTTCTAGGAACTTCACCTGAAAAAGCAGCTCCTTGCTGTGGATGTCATACACCAGGCACGTGTCATTTTCGTCCACCACGGCCAGCTTTTTCCGGGTGGCACTCATGTCCAAGCAGCGCACGGCCGTGGCCTGCTTCAGCAGGACGACAGCAAAGAGATTGTCCACAAAGATCTTCAGGATCTGGTGAAATTTCAGAGGAAAAAAAAAAAAAGTGTGAGTCACCATGGCAACCAGACCCTGGCCCAGCGCCAGGCTGCTGGAGTCCCATGTGTTCTACCAGAACAACTCCCACTGACTCCCAGAAAGGACTCATTAGAAGGAAAAGAAAAAAGAGGTGGCGGAGGAGGGGCAGGCTTATCCTCAGGAGACCAGAAGTGTGGTTCACCAGAGGTCGCCCAAGGAACAACAGGCCCAAAATATGCCAAACTTCACTCCAGTGTCTACCCGGACTGGGGACTTGCTAATGATTTGACTCAAACTGCACGCTGCAGGGGACCACGGAGCAAAGCTCTGCGTCAAGGACTAACACAGAAGGATGCCATAAGAAGCCCTGGTAGGGCATCTGGTATAAAACAATGATGATGATGCTGCTGATGGCTACTGTCTATTGACATCCTTGCTCTTGAAAGCACTGTGAAAAGTATAGCATCCTCATTTGTAAAACCTGAGCCTCAGAGAGGCAAAATGACCTGCCCAGGGTCATACAGCTAGTCAGCAGCTAAGATACATGATCCTGTTCAACCTGACCCCTGAAGCCCCTGCTCACAGCTTTGCTGGAGACGTGAGAGCTGATGGAGGAAGAAGCAGGCCCTTCTTCACTCTGGTGGGAGTCTGACAGCTCCCACTGATCTCACGTTCTATAATGTCCGTCCCCAGCAAAGACCTGACAAGCCTCAGTCGCAAGCCATCTGCTACACAGCTTGGCTCTTGGGCTAATGCAGTTATATTTTCACTTTCAGATTTCTATGAAGCCCACATAGAACTTTTTTTATTTTCAGCAAAGAACACACACACACACACACACACACACACACACACACACACACACACACACACTGATTTAACTTCTTACAACCTAAATTTCCTGCATCTATGGGCCCAAAAGACCCTTTTACTTTTAGCATCAAGTAACATCCTGAGGACACAGAGCTGTCTAGGGCCAAGGCTGGAGCGCAAGGTAATCCAGCCCCAGCCCTAATAGCGATCTGACCTCAGTACCTGCTCTGCCTCCCTCTCCAGCAATCCACTAAAGCTGCAGCTTGCACAAATCCCCCCCCCCAGGTGACCTTACGCCACTAATCCATTCTACGTGCAGCCCAGGGGCCACGGATGGCAGAGCTCGGCCAGAATGGGAGCATGCAGCTGTTCTCAGAAAAGGCAACTCGGAGCAGCCTGGGGTGCAGCAAGCTTTTCTTCCGGTCATCACGAGGCAGGTCACCTGAGTCGGCAGGCACACGGGAGCCACCAGGGAGCACTCACCTGTCCATTCTTCAGGCCCACTAGCAGCCCTTCCCTTCTGGGAGGGCCTCCGATCACCTTGATGTACCGGATTAGAGACTCCATCTGCCACTCCCGCTCCTTCACTCCATTGAAGGTCAGAGACTGCAGCCGCCTCTCCTAGGAAGCAAACCGGGCTCAGCATGGACCTTCCATAGAATGGGGCTCCCAGTCCCCCGCCGCACACCCACCCCCCATCCGGAGGCTTAGCCAGCCCTGGTTTATCTCCACCACCACCATCTTTAACCCTCACACAAGGCTTTCCATCTTCAATGCAGACTCCAGAGCAGCAACAAGTGTACACCAGTGACCATGTCAGCCACACCCGTGACACGAGAGTGACCACACCAGAGCGTGCCAGTGACCACACCTGTCCTCTAACTTGTGCTGAAATCTCTAGACCTACACATTCACATTTCACACCCAAAGAATTCATTCTACTTTATCTCTTCCAATAAGTCTCAGTGAACCCAAATCTACCTCTTTTAGGCTTTTCTCAAAGTCTTTCCAAATGCCTGCCATTGTTTCCTAGAAATCTATGTTGAGAATTTTTTTTCCTTGATATAAATTTTTGATACGTATGTTTATCAAAGCAAATTTATCTTCATTTGTGGGACTTTAAATTTAAGTCATTAACATACAACTGGTCCCAGTATGACAACTTCAATGCACCGAGTCTGATTCGTGCAACGCCAGTCTGTAGGTCAATGGGGCCAAGTTGGATGAGAAGGGATGGGTTTCCTCTTGACTTTTATGACCATGAGGTGGGGACCGTTCCTTGGGGGGAGGCAGGAAGCAGATCAGCCCAGCCCCTCTCAGGCTGCCACCCACCTGGCAGAGGATGATGTGGTCGGCACAGACCACCAGGAGGTTGCACTCAAACTTCCTGACCATCTTCTCCTTCACCCGGTAATGCATGTCTGACGAGTCATCTGAGTACAACTCATAGATGAGGATTTTCTCTGGCAGTTGGATAGCTAATCGATTTTTGTAGATGGCAATTTTCTTGACAAGCTCTTTGCATTTAATCCGAACTGTCAGAGGGGAAAAGAAAAAAAAAAATCAGGCTCTAGCAAAAGGTTGTTAAGTAAGGTGGAAGGCAGAGAAATTAAAAGCCCTCATTTACTTAATGTTCCTGGCAATTAAAGTGAGATGCTCTTATTAAAAAAGATCTTTACAGAGTGTCTCATATAGACAATCAACTCCACTGGGCACTGGGGTCCAGAGTTGTATACAACATAACAGTTTTTTGGCAGACCTGGGGATTGAACTCAGGGCCTTGCCCTTGCTGGCCCAGTACATCTCTATGGTCCAAATCCTACCCTTGAGGGTGGAGAGTGCAATGCTGAGGGCTAAGTCTCTACTCCTCTGTCCAGCCTGATGGCTCACCTAAGGGATGGCCACACACCCTTGCTTGACAACTGGGGCCATATGTGGTTTCTGCCCTGAAAAAATGGGAGGCTCATGTGAGCTCCTATTATCCTAGCTATTCAGGAGGCTGAGATCTGGAGGATCAAAGTTCAAGACCAGAGAAGTCTGTGAGCTTCCATCTCCAAACTAACCCCAAAATAACAGTGGGGCTGGAGGAATAGCTCAGCAAAGCAAGCCAAACAAGCACAAGATGCTGAGTTCAGACTCCTGTACCACCTAGAAAAATAAGCCCACAGAGACACATTTCTTGCCCTCTCAAGTGCTGTCACCCAGGCCCGCCCCCACCTTTCTGCTCGGTGATCAGGTGCTGCACAATGACGTCGGTCATACTGTCCCTGTAGGCGTAACGGTCCTTGTAGAGCCCGTGGACTGTGCTGAAGACCAGCTGGTACAAGACAATGGTGCCATCCTGGCAGCCTATGGCCTGCAGGGAAGAGGGCTGTTGGTCACCCCCAGCTTTGAGGAGACATGGTCTGCCCTCCCACCCATCTGCAACGAATGCCAGAGCCGGGACTGGCTGGCTCACGCCTCTCCTGGAAAAGTCCCAACAGAGCGAGTCCTCCTCACCACATAGTTGGAGTCAGGCTTCACTTTACATGTCCACACCCAGGAGCTCTGCTCCCCGATCGTCCCAAGCCGTACTCCATCCTTGGTGAAAAGGGACACTTGTTTGTCTGACCCCCCCATCAAAATGTATTCTCCCTTCGTGAAATAGCTGATGCAGCAGGGGTCAAAGTTCAGTGGCCGATCCTTCCCAATCTGAGGAAAGAGAACACACACACCAGAGAAAGATCACTGACGAAGGGTAAGTCATTCCCCATGATGAGATCTCCCTGCAGACTCAACAGGAGATGGTGAGAAGGCTGGCAAGAGCCAGCTGGGCTCCTCCTGGGATGCACCACCATCGACACGGGCCTGGCTGCCTCTCCTCACCTACTCTTTCCCCTCCCTATGCCAAATGCGCGACTCCCTCTAGCCATCAGTATCCCAAGTGGGCCTTGGCTCCTGCGTGGACCTGGAGGCCAGGAACGACCGTCCTCCTCCACCGTCCCTGCCAGCGGCTGCTGCAGCCTCTTTCCTTCTCTCAGCTGCTTTGTGTTTTTAGGTATTTCACAAAGCTGAGTTTATTCTGTTTAGAACACCCTCCTTTATTCATTATTCAATTTATTAAGGGAATAACTCTAGAAAGGTTTTTCTCTACTTTTTTTTTTTTTTTTGGTCCGCTCGTGGGACCTGAACTCTGGGCCTGGGCGCCGTCCCTCACTCAGCTCTTCAGCTCAAGGCTAGCGCTCTACCACTTGAGCCACAGCGCCACTTCCGGCTTTTTTCTTTTTTGCTTATGTGGTGCTGAGGAATCGAACCCAGGGCCTCAGGCATGCAAGGCAAGTGCTCTACCACTGAGCCACCTTCCCAGCCCATCCCTACTTTTTTTTAGTACAATTTACAAATATTTTCCTTTTTAACATGAAGGTGGCTCTATTTAATGAAATACAATGCTGTGCAGATTAAAAAGTGAGCTCCAGTTTCAGCTTAACTCCCTTCAACTAATTTAAACTACCATTATAAGTTTAATATGTTCGCTTTCCTTTCCTTTTTAGGAATTTCAACTGCCTAGCAACCAAAAGTTCTCCTAGTCCTTAACAAAGCTCAAACCAATAGCTTGGTGTGGTGGTGCATGCCGTCATCCTAGCTTTGTGGGAAGCTGAGATCAGACGATCACGGTTCCCAGTCAGCTGGGACAGAAAAGTCCAGGAGACTCCATCTCAATGGAAGAAGCTGGGCACGGTGGTGCATGCCTGTCATCCTATCTACATTAGGAAACTGACACCCAAGCTCATGTCCAGCACGAAGCAAGACCCTATGTCAAAAGTAACCAGTATGATGCTGGGTGCCAGTGGCTCATGCCTGTAATCCTACCTACTCGGGAGGCTCAGGCTGGGAGAACTGGGGTTGGAAGCTAGCTCAGGCAGAAAGGTTCTCAAGATCCCTTTTCAACCAAGAACTGGACATGGTAGCATGTGCCATTGTCCTAACTATAGCAGGCTGACTATGCCCAGACAGGAAGACCCTACTTCAAAATAGCTAGCACGGGGCTGGGAAGGTGGCTCAGTGATGGAGTGCTTGCCTTGCATGCATGAGGCCCTGGGTTCAATTCCTCAGCATTACATAAGCAGAAAAAGTCAGAAGTGGCGCTGTGGCTCAAGTGGTAGAGCGCTCATCTTGAGCTGAAGAGCCCAGGCCGAGGGTTCAGGCCCCACAACCGACAAAAAAAAGAAAAAGCTAGCAAAAAAAGTGCTGGAGGCACAACTCAGTGGTAAGAGCACCTGCCCAGCAAGCACAAGACCCTGAGTTCAAACCTCGGTACAACCGAAAAGAAATAACCAGCACAAAAAAGGGCGCAGGTGTGTCTCAACACTAAAGTGCCTGCCTAGCAAGAATGTATAGGGTTCAAATCCTCGTATTGACAAAAACCTAAATAAGGATGCTGGGAAATCAGCCATGGAAAACTGAGTAGCTCTTCATTATCAACTATATGGTCTTTTTTTCACTCAAATACTAAAGAAGCAATGGTGCAGCTACCGACGTCATATGCCTCACACAGCAGGGCTGTGTGCGTCGACGCTACACTCTGCTGGGCCAGGGCCGGACCAAGGTGGTGCTCACGTTAGTGGGATGAACAGCAGCGCAGGGAGGACAGGAGCTGTGACTGCACAGGACAGCACTGCACGCTGTAAGCAAAAGCTAACACTAGCGCTTCAAGGGGCAAAGGGCACAAGTGTACCAGAGTTTAATTTTTGTGTGTGTGTGTGTTGGTCACAGGGCTTGAACTCAGGAACTGAGTGCCGTCCTGAGTTTTGTTTTTTCTTCTCAAGGCTAGCACTCTATCACTTGAGAACAGCTCAAGTGGCGTTTGCTGGTTCACTGACGGACTTTCCTATGCAGGCTGGCTTCAAACTGCGATCCTCAGATCTCAGCCTTCTGAGGAGCTGGAATTACAGGCGTGAACCACTGGTGTCCAGCTCTTCCTGGGTTTCAACAGCGGTACATACCTGTTTCCCACTCAGCTGGTAGAAGGAAAGTTTCTGTCCCCAGTCAGCCACAGCCAGGATGTCATTGTGTTCCTCTCTAATCAACAGAAGACAAAAGAGGTTATGGGGGCCACGGCCTGCTGAGGAGTGCAACACCAACAGTTTAACAAACAGGAAAAGAAAGCCCTGGCCAGGCTGTCAGGGGGCCAAATGTACAGGCGAGGGCGACCCGTCTGTCAGCCGCTGCACCCACTGCCGTCCTGAGCTGCAGGGCACACGCTGCAGCCCGGGGAGCCTCACCTCCGCTTCCTGGGGGTTGAGGAGGGCCAAGGGCAGATGGGGAGTGCGTCTCCCGTGCTGTGAAACGTGGGGACGTAGGAGGGACTCCGCTCATGATGAGACGGTGTGAACTATCTGGGTTTTGTTCTTGTTTTTCCTGTTGTTGTTTTTTGATTTGGGGGTCCTTAGGGGAGGGGGGGGCATTGAGACAGTCTATGTGTCCCAAGGTGGCCCGGAACTCACGACCCTCCTATCTCAGTATTCCAAGTGCTGAGATTAATAGGAGGAGCCACGATGCCCAGCACCAATCTGTTTATTTAATAGAGGGAAAATGGTCATCCACAGAGAGCGAGAATGAGCACTAAGGTCAGGTATCTTCCAGCTGGGGACTGCTGCACGGGGAAAATGGTCTGACTGCATCCCATTGACAGGGCGACAGGACCAGGACCCAGAGACAGCCTTTGGCAAAGCTGTGGGCTGGCCACAGCTGGGAGTCTTGTTCAAGAGGGGCGCTCCCGGCCTTCAAGGCTGGGTGGGCCTCCGTTCACCCAAGATTGCCTGGTCCTGAGGGATTCCAGCTTTGCAGGGCCCAGGGCCTGCCAGGCATGACCCAGCTGGGAGTGACGGGAGGAAAGTGTCCCAGGCCCCAGTTCAGAACTAAGGGGAAAAAGAAGGGTTGAGAGGGAGGTGAGCAGGGGCCAGGAGGTGAACGCAGTAATGAAGTTCAAACACGCTGCAAAAGCCCAGCCCTCATCCGTTATCAGTGGCTCAGGCCTCTGATCCCAGCTTCTCAGGAGACAGATGAGGATCATAGTTCAAAGCCAGCCTGGGCAGGAAGGTCTGTGAGACTCTGATCTCCAGTGAACCAGCCAAAAGCCAAAAGTGAAGCTGTGGCTGAAGTGGTAGAATGCAGCCTTCAACAAAAAAAGCTCAGGGATTGAATCCAGGCCCTGAGTTCAAGCCCAAGACTGGCAGAAAATAAAAGAAGAGAAAAGAAAAGAACAAAAAGAAAAGAAAAAAGAAAAGGCCTAGCACTCAGTGACCATTCTTGGGGAGGCGCAGCCGGCGCGGGCTGGTGGCGCTCAGCCCCCTCTGTCCCCAGCAATGAGGCTCTTTATCCAAACACACATGTAGAACAATGAAAGGTGGTGCTCTGGCTGACGCCCACCCTTCCTCCTCCCTTTGCGCCCATGTCCCTCCCCGTGACACTGGGGTTCTTGGAGGTTCTTCCGAGCCTCAGGCCCCATGGGTGCAGTACGTGGTCAGCTGTCCCACCAGCCCCGCCAGGCCATCCTAATGGACAGTGTGCTGAAGACTGGGGCAAGGCAGGGGCTTCCCCTCTGCCATGTGTCCCTGGCCTTGGCGAGGAATGCCGAGGGAGGAGGAAGGAACGGGCCAGGGACTTGGGCAGTGTTAAGGATGGACATCCAGGTAGTGATACAAGACAGATGCAAGAAGTTATGCCTTTGGAAGAATTTCTAATGTTACTGGGAGGAGCTTGCTCGCTGTTATGGTTTAGATGACTGTAGATGTGCGCTGAGCTTGAGAACACAGATGTCTATGGGGGCTCTAGGGATGGGGTTTCACAGAGCAGCTGGGCCTTCTTCTCTGTCCTTTACAACATTTCTGGGTCCTGGGGTGCCCCCTCGGTGTGTATGCGTGCTGGGGCCCTGCTCTGCCGGCCCCGGCGGGCTGCACAGGCCCGGGCCCTTCCAAGGAATTCCTGGCTCCTTGGGACACACTCACGAGTTGTCGTCCCTGGGACTGTCGTCTTCTTCCTCCGGCTCTTCCTCCTCTGCCTCACTACCCTGACTACTGTACTCTGCTGACTTCAGAGTGGAAGGGATTTCCTGAAAATAGCTGTTGACAATGACATCCTCCGCGTCCTCCGTCTCTCTGCTCATCCAGAAATTCTCCCACCGGCTGCAGATAGTAAGTGGTGGTTCACAATCGCATTGCCTACAGCCTCACTAGCACTATCATTCCAAACCCTGTCAAGGAGCCCCTGAACCCTGCCCGGAAGAGGACAGCCACCAGGTACACTGGGCATCCTGCTTCTCATGAATTAAAGATGGTGGCCCGAAGCCACACAGTCATCTGTGGCCACAAAATCAAACAGCAGGAACTCTGGGGTAGGCTAATAGCCTCCGGCAGCATTAGGTACGCATGATCCAACCTGGGCTGACAGAATTAGCCAGGAAGAAGCATAATGACCTGGTGTGGGAAAGGCAGCGGAATTAAATGGCCTCCTAAATCAAGTGGGCGCCCACCTGTAAAATGACACTGGGTTGGTAAACAAGTCCTTTCATTTACCTTCAGAGGACTCTGTGGGGGATAGAAAAGGTTTAATAATATTATGGGATTACACAAAGAGCCTGTAAGGTATTAATTCACCCTCAGAGGCACATGGGCGTAGACGGCAAGAGTGAATGAGGTTTGAGCTGCCATGCTGGGCTTTAGAGATCCTTGTAAACTTAATTTTGACTTTTTTGGGCACGGGCAACAATGATGGCTCACTGAGGAGCAATTTATTAACAGGTGAGCACACACTTTGCCCAAATTTGCAGGGAACAACTGAAAAAAAAGCTCAGCAACAATAAAAAAAAAAATGGTCCTACGTTATACACACATGCGAGTACGCACACACACACACACACACACACACACGCACACGCCACTCATGTATGCATTCACACGCACAACACTCACACATCCTCTTGTCTGGCCTACATAGCTCATCTGCTTAGCTAAATCTCTGGGATCTGTGCCAAAAACTCAAGATAGCTCTTTAAAAAACGATTTCAATGCAACAGATTCCAAAGAGACTGGTCAAGTGGAGGGAGAAGACTTTCAAACTACTGAGGCCCCAGGAAGAGTTTAGGAAGAAAGAACGCGGCCTGCCGAGAGCGTGCGCCGACCCCGTACCTGGACGGGCTCCAGCAGATGGACCACACGGGGGAGTAGACGCCCCCCGGCCGCTCGATCTTCACTTTCTCCTCACCGTTTTTGTTCCGTATGCTGATGACACCGTTGAACAGCCCCAGAGCCAGGTACTGGCCATCATTTGTCCAGCTGGACACACGCCCAACATAGGTGGGGAGGAGGGAGACATGGAAGGAAAAGCCAGTGAGACCAACACTCTGGTTTGGAGTACCACGGGTGCCACAGTGTGGTGAGGGCTGTGGCACCATCGCTCCTGCTGCTCAGACAGCCACGCTGCAAGCCCGCCCCTTTCTAGCATCAGCAGCGAGGTGCAAAGGACAAGGCCAGCCTCATGTTTCCAGAACCTCTGCTCAATACAGCTGCATGGTGAGGAGTCTGTGGCCAGCTACCTGAGGGAAGGCAACTTGGAGTCTCTGACTCATTGATCAAAGGCCTGGCTCTTTCTTTCCCACCAGACAGACAAAAAGAAAAAAGGAACAGCAGCCCCCTCTGCTGTGTGGGATGAGCACGCGGCGCAGCCCCCTCTGCCTCCGCTGTGTGGAATGAGCGCACGGGGAGGGGCCTGTTCAGAAGAGGAAGGAGCCAAAGCCTGACCTCGCAGCGGCCCGTAACTTACCTGCAGCAGGTGATCTTGCTGTTGGCTTTGTGCTTGGAGACAGACTTCTGTTCCGGAGACCACAGTCCTTCAATACAGGGTAAAAGAGTGACAGTTGGAATACTACTCAACAACGCGAAGAATGGAACACTGACACATACAACCACCTGGGGGGCTTCCAGAGTTTTATGCTGAGTGAAAAAAAAAGCCCATCTCTGAAGGCCGCATGCTCTGCGACTCCATTCACAGAACATTCCAGATGCCACGGCGGCAGCAGAGGACAGGTTCCTGGGCACCAGGGCTGGAGTAACGGGGGCTCGGGAGGGGGAGCGTGATGGTGAGGTGACAGGATAGTTCTGTACGACAGCCGTGGCACGCCGCGTGCGACACAAGCGACAGAACCGCACGCACACACAGTGCCAGCCAGCGTCCTGGTTTAGGTACCGCAAGACAGTTACACAAGCAGCGTCTCCTGGAGGAAATGGATAAAGGACACACGAGGCTGCAGCTTACTGGGAACCTATCATTATTTCCACAGAGAAAGAAGAAAGACCGATGACGTTCTAGCCAGCTTTGGGATTTAGGTCTCAAAGAAATATCCACCTGGACTCCTCCTGAGGAGGGCACAAAACCAACAGTCCATCGCGCGTTTAAAGTCACGCCGGGCCTCTGCTACGGCACGCGCCCAGTCCGTGGAGGCTCGCGCCAGCCACTCCAGCCACAGGTGCATGACCAGACGCCACAAACAAACTCTCCTCTCTGCCTGGGCTGCGGAGCGCGCTCAAGCAGGGAAGTCTGGCGCACAAACAGAGTTCTACAGCCAGGTGTGAGGCCGGTGTGCTCCCTCGGCTCTCATCTCCTCACACTTCCAACCACACACACGTCCTCTGAGCTCCGCGACGCCTGCCCTGAGCTCCAGCTGCAAGGCAGCCTCCCTATCTGCGTCCCCAAGCCATGCTTCCCAGAGTGGGGCTGGATGCAATCGCCTATCCTGGGTCCTTGCTTGTCAGCTGAGAGAGTTTTAGTGATTCTTGAGCCCCCTCGTCAGTAGGGTGGGAATGAGCAGAACACCTCAGGAGCTGGCACAGAGATCAACTAGGAATTCGTTTTCAAACCCTTACACAGTGCCTAGCGCACTGCCGGAAGCCCCGGCCCCAATGTTTTCACATATTCTACCTGCCCCAACACCTTTAGCTGGAGGCGGGAGACGTGCATCTCCCCCAAGGAAACTCAAAAACGAGGGCCTCACAGGGAGAAAACCGCTTAACGTCTTACAAAAGTGACAGGCTCTGCCTAATTTTATGGCACAATGTGTTCTTGCTTAAATTCTTCCTTTTGGAAGCCTCTACTCTACAGTGAGGAAGCTGAAATACTCACCCCGCACCCATGCCCAGTCTCTTGGTCCCACTGTCTCAGCGAAGGAGACACAACACACAGAGCTAGAAACCAGAAGTGACTTTTTTGTTTTGGTTGGTGGTACTGGGATTTGAATTTATTGAGTTTGTGAGGCAGACATTATACCAGATGAGCCACCCTCCCCCCTCTGCCCCCCCCTTTTCTGATTTGTTTTACTAACAGGAGCTTGCATTTATGCCCAGGCCAGCCTAGACTTCCAGCTTCCTTTTTACGCTTTTCTCATAGGCAGTAGACGCACAGTAGGACACCTGGCTTTTCGACTGGGGGCGGAGGTCCTCACTAATTTGCCCAGGCTGAGTAGCTGGGATTACAGGCATGAGCTACTGCATCTGGCCCAGAGTCGACTTTTTGTTGTTGTTATTGTTTAAGGCTGCTCCTGGGGCTTAACTCAGGGTGATGAGCTCTAGTTCCATTTTTCCGCTCTTAGCTGGCTGTCTACCACTTGAACTATGCCTCCAGTCCAGTGTTTTGCTGGTTAATCACAGATAGAATATTTCAGACTTTTCTCCCTGCGCTGGCTTTGAGTCTCGATTCTCAGATCTGAGCTTCCTGAGTAGCTAGGGTCACAGACGTGAGTCACCAGTGCGGGGCAGAATCACCCTTTAATGGAGAGCGTCTACAAGCCTGCCTCCCTCCCTCCGTACACACATCCCTGTCACCTCCTCTGAGCGGTGCCACAGTAGCCCGTGTGATGCCAGGCATGGCTGAGGCCGGCAGCCCTCGGGAAGCACAGCTACCGCCACCGGGACAGCCATCGCGACACTGCACCCGAAGCAGAGCTGAAACGGTGAATGGCGGTGAATACAACGTGGGCATGCTGACCTGTCCCTTGCTGGGTGGGCAGGGGCGTGCCCGTGGTACACCCCTGCCCTCCTACTGGCTCACCATTTCCACCTGGCCCTCCTGTCAGCTCGTGTCTTGCATAACGCAGAGCATGGGCTCTCCGCCAAGTAAGGAGAAACTCAGGCCGCCCCTCAGACATGGGTGAGGGGGAACGAATTCTCAGCACAAGACACTGAGTCTCGAAGGGGTTTCCGCACGGGGGGCCCAGTATTTTGGTTACTGAGGATAGGACGTTTGGGAATGAGAACATACCGAAGTCACTGGAGGAACAAGATGCCAGCTGGTGAGTGACGGGGTTGTAGGAGACACACTGGATAGACTCGTTGTGCCTGCAAGGGAAGCAGCGTGGGTCATTAGGATGCAGACCACTGACGTCTCCGTCTCTGTGGCTTCTGCTGGAGATCTAACTCACTGCCCAGCCCTCTGCCAGTGACCAACAGAAAGCAGCGCTGCACCACGCTGCACGGCCGATTTGAGTGCTGATACGCTAAAGACAGAAAGGACCCGGCCTCGGGGCTGGGAAGGTGGCTCAGTGGTAGAGCGCTTGCCTTGCATGCATGAGGCCCTGGGTTCGATTCCCTAGCACCACATAAGAAAAAAAAGCCGGAAGTGGTGCTGTGGCTCAAGTGGTAGAGTGCTAGCCTTGAGCTGAAGAGCTGAGGGACAGCGCCCAGGCCCAGAGTTCAGGCCCCATGACCGGAACCAAAAAAAAAAAAAAAAAGGACCCGGCCTGTGCCAGCTGCAGGGTAAGTGCTTGGGTTGTGGCTGCTGCTGTTTCATGGCAGCCTAGTAATGCAGGACGGAGGTCAGCGAGCACGGGGAGGCCAAGATCTGGAAAGGCGAATCCTAAGACGGCAATCAAAGCTAAGGGGTCCTACGCCATCATCGCAGGCCAGCCTAATTCCTCCTGTACTTTTGTGTAACACTGTACTTCCTCCCTCCCTCCCTCCCTCATTTCAAAATGGCTTCTTGAGCTGGGTACCAGTGGCTCATGCCTATCATCTTAGCTGCTAGAGGCTGAGATCTGAGCATTGCAGTTTGAAGCTAGCCTCACAGGAAAGTCTGTGAAACTCTTATCTCCAACTAACCAGAAAAGCTGAAGTGGAGCTCAAGTGATAGAACACCAGTCTTGAGCCAAAAAAAAAAGTTCAGGGACAGACTCTAGGCCTTGAGTTTGAGTCCTCAGGCTGGCATAAATAATTGCTTATTGATTCGCACACCCGTGCTCAGAGCAGTATCAGCCCCCAGGGCCAAGTGGTGGAATTAACCCACCTGTCCATCAAATGATGACAGTCAAGCAAAATGTGGCATGTGATACAATGGAATCGCGAGGAAGCACAATACAGCACAACGTGATGAACCATGCTGGGTGCAATGACGTAGTCTCAGGAGGATAAACACTGTGTGCTTCCTCTTACACGAGGTGGCTAGGATATCAAGTTCATAGGGAAAGAAGGCAGAACGGTGGGTAACGAAGACTGAGGGAGGGGCAGGAGGGGATTATTAGGTGTAGAGTTAAAGTTCTACAAGAAAAGAGTTCATAGCCAGGTGCCAGTGGCTCATGCCGGTAAGCCTAGCTACTCAGAAAGTTGAGATCTGAGGATCTCGGTTCAAAGCCAGCCCAGGAATCTGTGAGACTCTTATCTCCAATACACTACCAGAAAACCATAAGTGGCGCTGTGGCTCAAGTGGTAGGGCACCAGCCTTGTGCTGAAGAGCTGAGGGTCAGTGCCCAGGTCCAGAGTTCAAGTCCCACAAAAAAGAGTTCTGCTAGGCCAGGTGGCTTAGGGCTGTGATCCTACCTACTTTGTCGTGAAGTTGTATTGGATCACACTTAGAGGTCAGCCCAGGCAAAAGTTCAAGATTCCTTCTCAACCAATAGCTAGGCTCAGTGGCACACACCTACCATCCCAGCTACAGCGTGGGTGTAAAATTGGAATATCACAGTCCAGGCCAGTCGGGCAGCAGGAGACTCTATCTAAAAAATAACCAGAGTCCAAAGGGCTGGATGTATAGCTTGAGCAGCAGAGAACCTACCAAGCAAGGGGAGAGGCCCTTGAGTTCAAATATATATGTATACAAACAGGTCTGGGGATTTTCATTTCCAAAATTTAGGTTGCAGAACAATGCGAATGTACTTACTCTATTGAACCTAAAATATGGGTAGGGTGGTACATTTTACATTTTGTGTGGGGTTTTCTGGTTTGTTTGTTTGGTTGGTTCAAATGAAATGGCCTGTTGAATTCTTACTGTGGACCAGGCATGGTGCTAGGTGCCAGTAACACAAGAATTACCAAAATAGCATCTGCCCTTCAGGAGCTTTCGGGAACTTTATTGATCAATCCCCAACATACAGGTGACATTCAACCATAAAAGATGCCACCGTGGAGAAGCACCGAGTCTGGGGGGGACAGAGACACCTGAGCTGAGAGAGGCGGACTGGTGCAGCAGCAATGGAGAATGCCAGCGAGCCCACGGGGAGAGGAGGCCTGGCACCTGCCCAGTTCCTCACTTTGACACCAGCTGGGTGCAAGGTTACGCCCTGACACAGACACTGGAGGAAGACGGGTTGGGGAGGAGGTGGAATGTGTGGTGGCAGAGGAACTGAAATGCATTCCATGAAAACACCCAGCCCAGGGCTAGCCAAGCCAGCAAGTGCTTAGCAGAAGCAGCCCTCCCCCTTCCCAGGTGAAGTTCATTTTGGAGAAAAATATTACTTCCTTACATTTTTTTTTTGGTCGGTCGTAGGACTTGAACTCTGGGCCTGGGCACAGTCCCTCAGCTCTTCAGCTCAAGGCAAGCGCCTACTACCACTTGGGCCACAGCGCCACTTCCAGTTCTGGTGGTTTATTGGAGATAAAGAGCCTCATGGACTTCCCTTCCCAGGCTGGCTTTGAACCGCAATCCTCAGATCCCAGCCTCCTGAGTAGGCATGAGCCACCAGCGCCCAGCCCTCACATCTTTTCTAAGGAGCAGTGGGTACAATTGTGGTGCATGCCTGCAATCTCAATTCTTAAAAGGCTGAGACAGGAGGATCTCAAGCTCCAGGCAAGCCTGGGATATATAGTTAGATTCTGTCTCAAAAAAACAAACAAGGGGCTGGGAAGATGGCTCCGTGGTAGAGTGCTTACCTTGCATGCCCGAGGCCCTGGGTTCGATTCCTCAGCACCACATAAGCAAAAAGAAAAAAGCCGGAAGTGGAGCTGTGGCTCAAGTGGTAGAGCTCTAGCCTTGAGCTGAAGAGCTGAGGGACAGCGCCCAGGCCCAGAGTTCAGGCCCCACGACCAGACCCAAAAAAAACAAAAAACAAAAAACAAAAAACAAGTAGTAAACTGCACCCAGGCAGTCACTTACGTGTACTTCAGAATGCCTTCCAGTTTTGATGTCCAGATAATAACACTTTTGTCAGCTGACCCAGAAGCAAAGCGTTTGCCTGTGTTAAGAAGAAAATTATCACATATATACATATATATATTTTTTTATTTTTATTTTTTGGTCATGGGGCTTAAACTCTGGGCCTGGGCGCTGTCCCTCAGCTCTTCAGCTCAAGGCTAGCACCCTACCACTTGAGCCACAGCGCCACTTCTGGCTTTTTCTGCTTATGTGGTCCTGAGGAATCGAACCCAGGGCCTTATGCATGCAAGGCAAGCACTCTACCACTGAGCCACTTTCCCAGCCCAGCATTTCCCATAGTATTTCTTAGAAAACTATGTTTTTGTTGTTAGTGATGCTGCTATTGTTTTAACATGGTTTTACTATGTAGCCAGGCCTGGCCTCGAACTTGTGACCCTCCTGCCTCAGTAGCATCCTGCTGCCTCAGTCTTCTGAGTGCAGGAACTACAGGCATGTGCCACCACGTTCTTAGGGAAGCTAGTTAAGTGTCACCTTCTCTATGAGTGTGTGCGTGCGTGCGTGCGTGCATGCATGTGTGCGTGTGTGTGTATGCGTGCGTGTGTGTGTTACAGGGATGGAACCCACAGCTTTGCTCCTGCTGCACCACTGAGCACCCCACCTCTCTATGACTGCTCATCAGTACTACTCACAGGCAGCCTGGAGTCAGGAGGTCTGGGCTCCAAGCCTGCTCTTCTGGCACTGAGTACACACAGACGTACTAAAGACTGCTTCATGCACGCATTGTGCTCAAGGATAAGGGCTGAGCAGTGATTAAAGTACATCATCCAAACCTTCACACACTCCAGTAGAAGTAGTAAACACTAAATTAACACAGCGCGTGCACACGCACACACACACACACACACACACACACACACAAAATGTGACGAGAAAAACTGAATTAACTGGGAAATCTGATTTCTGTTTTTACTTGACAAATAATTGTATGGTTTTATGAAATACAATGTGAGGCTTTGCTATACATATACACTGACAAATGATTAAATCAAGCTAACTAACCTCTTGTACCCATCGCTTCAGATAGGTTTTGGTTTTTTTGGTCAGTCATGGGGCTTGAACTCTGGGCTTGGGCACTGTCCCTCACTTGAGCCATAGTGCCACTTCCAGTTTTCTAGTGGTTTATTGAAGATAAGAGTCTCACAGACTTTCCTGCCTGGGCTGGCTTTGAACCTCAATCCTCAGATCTCCTGAGTAGCTAGGATTACAGGCATAAGCCACCGGTGCCCGACCAGATAGTTACTTATTTTTTGTAGTGAGAACAGTTACAGTCTGCTCTTTCAGCAACTCTGAAATATACATTTTTATTGCCTGTGCTCACCACACTGGACAGAACGTATCGGAAACCACTCCTCTTGTCCGAATGGACTTTTGTACTGTAGGCCATTATCTCCCTGGAAGCTTGAAGTATGAGCAGAGCTTAGCCAAGTGCAAAGAAATAAGAAAGACACATTCACATGAACAAAACAGATATGCAAAGGCCCTTGGGCAGGGAAGGGCCAGGAGGGCTGAGAAGCAGCGTGGACACAGAGGGCAGGTGGTAAGGGGCAGTGGAAGGACCTCTTGGGTCTTTAGGGCCACAGCAGAATCTTGCCCTTTACCCGCAGGCAACAGCAGGGCTTTGAAGGAGAGAAAGGCTGGAAGCAGAGAGCGACAGGTCCGAAGGGACTGCCTATAAGCACATGGGGGGGGGGGATTAGGACACCAATGCCGGGTACCGACTTTACCCTTCAGGCCTGTGGAAGGTGAACTTGGGCAAGTGACCAAGTTCACCTTCTGGGCCGGGGGGAGGGGCCGGGGGACACTTTCCTCTCTGGGGCGATCAACTAAGACTAAGATACTCTTTACCACTACAGCAGGCGAGCTCAGGCCAGGCACCAGGCAGCACTGCAAATACCAAATCAACAGGGAGCTGCTGCCCCCTCCTTCCTGCCCTTATTTCCTCATCTGAAAAACAGAGATGCAATCCCAGCACTCAGGAGGCCCAAGCCCAGGATTCAAGTTCAAGGCCAGCCTGGCTAGGGTGAGACCTTGTCTCGGGAAAAAAATCACAACTGAACAACTCACTACTATATAATAATTTTATAGCTGTTTATAGTTAGAGGCTATATATGGTGTATAGTTATGTTAGAAACAAATTCCTATGCATAGTTGGTGCTCAATAAACATGAATAGATTGAAAAAAACCATGTTTTTACCTCATAGTTCATGGGAAGACTAAGCGAGTGTGTGTGCTTGAGTGTACACACACACACACACACACAGTGCTAAGAACACTGCCTGGGATAAAATTATACTCAAAAAATTAGTACTATTACCACTGTTGCTTCATATTGTTTTTCTTGAACAAAGAAACGACATCTCAGGCACTTATGTACCATGGTTGCTCATTAATTACTAATTAAACTTACAGGAAAAAAATCATTAACTACTAATTACACTGACAGGAGAAATCAGAAAGGGGCAGACTAAGAGTAATTCAGTGCATCTCAATATTCAGATCTACACGAGGCAAGACTAGTTCCAAGGAATGAAAAGTCCTCTTACTCCTAGGTAAGCCGCACTGCAAGGCAGAATGATGTACTAGAAAGATCTAGGGCTCTGTGGTCATGGGACCTGCAGGCCCAGCTCTGTCGCTGTGCCTCACATTGCTCCAGGCTTTTCTCTCATCTGGGTTGCTGACTGGTCAGAGTCTCGCTAGAATATAAATGAGATAATGTGTGCCTGCAGAGTGCTGGGAAATGCCAAGTCTCGCTGACCTAAGCCATAATGGTGCTTCAGGGTAAAGGGCACACACAAAAAGCATGGCTGCGGTGGCAGAGCGTGCCTGGCCATGGAGCAAGAAAATTGTGCTGTCTCCAGATGGGGAGGTATGGCTCAAGTGGTATAGCTCCACCTTGAATGAAAAAGACAAGCAAGAATGCAAAGGCCCTGAGTTCAAGCGCACGTGTGCACGCACGCATACACACACACACACACACACATCTAGCTAGAAGTGTGGCTCAGTGACTGAGCTCCTGACCAGCGAGCATGAAACCCTGAATTCAAACCCAGTACTGCAGGGAAAAAAGTCTCACAAAATAAAGAACAGCAATTAAAAGAATAGGGAAGAAAGAAATGTGTGTTGTCTTTGAGTGAATCTGCTGCATGACCCTAGCAGGGTACTTTTCTTCTCGAGTCCTGCATGGATCTCAAGGGAAGTGGGAAGTCGGAGTCAGACTCTGTCAGTCTCCTTCCAATGCTAACATTCCAGTCTGTGACTCTGGGCCATGGTCAGTGAATGCTGTCTCTAGCCTCATGTCGGCTCGACACAGGAAACTGAGGCTCAGCGACCATCACCAGTGGAACACACAGCTTTTGTGCTGGGTGGGTTGGGACTGGGAGCTTCTTGCGCTGTGGGGTAGCATAAATTTATTTTTAACTCCTGATCTCAATTCCTTCCACGCATCCATCCTCTAACTGCCACCTCCCTTCTTCCCAACCCAGCTGGTATACGAATCCCAGCTACAGTAATCCATCCTCCCCCCTCCCCTGGCCGGAGGGTAACGCCTCTCCCCTGCCGGACCCATGACCCCAAACCTCTCCCCTGCCTGTCCCCATGAACTTGCCCCCTCTCCACCCCTGCACACAGCCCCACCTCCCTCACCGCTCAGACAGCATCTCCAGGCTGATGTATCTAATGGCTCCTTTGCACACAGCCTGGGCTCCCTTGCCCTCTGGCCTTCACCTTGTCTGTAAAACCACCACTCTGACTATATCCACTTCTTCCAGAAGCTGCTGGTCCTGTGCAGCTCTGAGCAGCAGGAGAAGAGGACACAAGCACATCTTCAGTTTGCCATTCGCAGCTGCAAGTGTGCCCTTCCCGTCTTCCTAGCGAGCCTCCCAGCTCCCCTCTCTCCTCTCTCCGGGCTGCCCTCACGCCTCACCTCACCTCCTTCCCCATCTCACTCTCAGCTGGCTCGGCTCCCCACTTCCCTGAAAACATGGAAGGCGTCGATTCCCACTGCATGTCCCCACCCGCAGGTCCTCCCCACGGGAGGAGGGTCGCCGCGCTCCGCATCGGGTGCCACTCACTGCCTGCAGGCAGCCATCTCCCCTCCACACACACACCACCACCTTTCCTCCAATTCACATGTCCACAACCCAACTCCAGGCCTTCCTCTGTGAGCCCCTCCGCCTGCAGCTCCTCCCATTCAGTTGCTCAGGTCAAAAGCTGGGAGTCACCTGGCCTCCTCTTCCTCCACACCTCAAATCCAGCCTCTCATGAAATCCTACTGACTCCGCCCCTCCATGCAGAATCCAGATCCCTTCTCACCTCCTCGCCCCGCACTCAGTGCTCCCTGGAAGTGCTCCTGGCTCATCTTCCTGCCCCAACCTCATCTCCGCAGGCTGTTTTCAGTACAAAGGTAAAATGTGAGCGTGATCACATCCCTCCTCCGCTGAGAGCCCGTCCACGGCTCATCACCTTATGAGAACCGAAGCTGCAGTTCTCATAATGGCCAACGTGGCCTGGCACCTGGCTCCCCTCACTTCCCTGCTCCCCGAGCCTCTGTGCCTCAACTCCCAGGAGGCCTGGCACACTCCCAGCCACTGCCGGCTCTGCAGCAGCGCCCCCCTCGCCCCAGATCTCACTCTGGGGCCTCGTGGTCTGTACTCACCAGTCCCATCTGAACGAGCCCATCCAACCCCTGCAGGCTCCCAACCCCTCATATCCTGCCTGCCTGTCCTCTTCCACAGCACTGCCCGTCCATCACTACTGCTTGGTTCTCACTTCACGTGTGTCTGCCTCTCATTTCCCCACAGGACCTTGGTCCCTGGTTCTCTGGAGCATCTCCAGCACCTTGGACAGTACCTGCCACATGCATGACCTGCAATAAATCCTCCTTGACTTGAATGTCAGAATTTACAAAGCAGAAACTGCCTATCTTCTGAATTACAGAGTGTCTACGCACAAAAATGAGTAGCTATGAGGCCATGACAGAGACAGAACCCAGAGCAACCTCTTACCATCCTTTGCATATTCCACACAGTATACAGTGTCTTTGTGTCCCCGGAGGGGCTGAAGTAAGGTGCCATCAGAGGCGTCATAAACCTGTCAAAAAGAGACAAAAGTGAGCTAATTGCTGGTGGCTCACACCTGTAATTCTAACTCCATGGAGGCTGAGATTGAGAAGATCACAGTTCCAGGCAAGCCAAGGCAGAAAGTCTGCCAGTCTCCACATCTCCTGGAAGAAGCTGGATGTGGTGGTAAGAGCCTGTCAGCCCAGCCACAACCAGAAACCTAAAATAGCAGATCACGATCCAGGCATGTGCCTGGACAGGAAGCAAGAACCTATCCAGCTAAAAAAAAAAAAAAAAGGCCTGGAGGTGTAGTTCACAGGCAGAGCACTGCCTAGCAAGCTCAAGACCCTGAGATCAAGCCTTAGAAACATATGAGAGACAGACAGACAGACAGACAAAGTGACAGAGGCAGTGAGACAAAGAGACAGAGACAGAGAGAAAGAAAGAGAGAGAATGGGGGAAACAGGAGAGAAATGTGTAGATTATCTCTGTGACATCAATTATTCAGAATTCCTGTAGGACTGTTACCATTATTTTCATTTTTATAACAAAACAGTTGTCAAATTTGTATCCCAGAAAGACTACTGCAAAACCAGAAGGAACATGACTTAACACTAGGTAAGCAGGAAGTGGAAGTCCTGATTCTAATCCCTCTGAGAAACAACCTTCCCTCATTCTGCCACGGGCTTGGAACAGAACCAATCAAGCCAGGCCCACCTAAATAAAACCAGCATGCACAAAGCGCCAGCTTCCAACATGGTTCAACAGCAGGCCCAGCATCACCCCTGACCACTGCAACACTGAGACATTTCCTACCAGCTACCGAGACTGAAAAAGTCACAGACCGTCTGCTAGGTTTGCAAGTAGGAAGAAGTGTGATAAAACCCAGCTGTAATACGGATTTAGGATATTTTATGGTTCTGTAACATGGATAAATAAGTGGAAATGTACAAAACACACCATCTGAGGAATCAGGGTAAAACTCCTACACAGTCAGAAGGAAATCTATGAGGAAAGCTGAAAGGACTGGACTGTTTACCCTGGAGAGAACAAGTCTGCAGAACAATTCAATCATGGTTTAAGGCTGCAGTGACCATACAGAGAACAGACATCAGTCAGTCTGCATATCTGGAGACAACAGTGAAGAGGAAGTGGACTTAACACATGGGTGGGAGGAAGGGAGATCACACAGGTTTTTAGGTCAAACAGAGTTCTCTCAGGAGTTATTTTTGTCCACTGGGATGGGCTCCAGGGGGAGTTTATAACCTTTGAAAATACAAAAAGCCAGCACAGCATGCATATGGGAATGCTTAGGTGGGCCAGGGCCTAAAAGTCCAGGTCAGGGAACCTGGCTTCTCATGGAGGAGGCCCCTTCACTCTAGTCACTTAGATATTTCAGCACAAAATACTGACACCCACCCAGTTTCAAAGGCATTTTGATTCATTGTCTTCAACTACTTCGAGGTGTCTCAAGCAAAAAGAGAAAGATGAATGACTCTAACGGCGGCATTGTTCACAAGCTCCTAGCTGACAGACAGTTTACTTACCAGTTTTAAATAGCCCATTTCCTTCCCCATTAAAAAGTAATGACTGGTTTTTCCTCCTTTGCCTTTTTTATCTCAAGAAAAAGGGTCAAATTTCAGAGTACTTACAAGTGGGAGGAGGAAAAAAAAGAGCACTTAAAAAGGAAATTCAGACAAAATCCTACCAGTAATCTGCTTCCTGCAGCCACAATCAGTTGAGTTCCATCAGGCTTAAATGTGAGGTCATAGATACTAAACAGAAGACAAGACAAAAAGACAATTAGGAACCAAAATGATGAGGTCTGCTAATGGTCAGGAAAGCCAATTTTTGTTTCCACTATCAACACTGTGTGTATGAGGAGAAAAATAACAGCAATGAATTGCATATGTTTGCAAATTCCGTGCAAATTCCGTTGGCAGCTGCTCAGTCGTGATGGGCTCGCCCGGCTCTGCAGCCTGGTTTCCTCCTGTCCGGAGCCAGACGCCAGGAATGATTCAGAGGCTCAACCTCTGGGGCACTTAACTCTTTGAATGATACCATAAGGGCCAGACCCCTGGGAACAAGTGTGAGAGTGAGGAAAGCCACACAGTCATGTGCTGACTGCCTGAGACGCTAGGTACCAACAGGTGGTACACGGTGTGCAGGTCTGAGTCCCTTCCTGCCCTCCAGGAAGTCCCCACAGAGGGAAGGTGCGAATTAGACAGGTTCACCAAGAATTCTGCACCTCCACTTCTTCGCACGTTAGTGTCTCTGAGTTTGGGATGTATCTTGCAATTAATTGGTGACTTTTTGATTTAACTGATAGCAATTTTTATTTTTTTTTATTTCAATGATACTTTATGATCAAGGACCTCTTAGATTGGGGAAATACAGAGGAAAGGGGTGTTTTTAATCAACAAATAATGTACAATGTGATGTTTTTATCTATGTATTATGCAAAGCGAGTTAACATATCCATTTCCTCAACAATGTAATCATTTTAGTGTAGTGAGAATGCTGCTGATCTATTCGTTGAGCCATGTATTAGCTGCGGTCACTGTGCAATGCAAGGGAGACTCACCTTCCCCATCCCTTCCTCTGACTCCACACCCGGGCAGACAGTTCCCTTGAACAAGAAGTCTTCACATTTCCTCAACAGGTAGGAGCCAACCCTCTCTTGCACCTTATTTTGACATCATGGATGGATGGGGCAGGCATCATCAACCCGTTTTTAAAGATGAGGAAACTAGAGAGAGGCAGGCTGACTGCAGTCCCGCAGCTGGCGGAGAGAAGCTGGCCATGGGCCGCTTCCCTGCTTTGCAGCTGGGCGCACAGGACAAAAGCAACCCTGGGCCCCTCGTCCTTCCGCTTCCTTCCTCACTGCTTGGTGGTGCTTCCAGAACTTTCTATCTCTGAGTCCAGGTATCTCAACACATTTCACACTCTGAGAAGCAGATGAAAGAGACAAAAATAGGGGAGAACTGGGGCCAGAAAAGCTGACCTCCTTTTCATCCACAAAACAAGGATAGGCGGCTCCCTCTCACCATGAGGAGGCCCTGCCGGCCTCTGCAAAGCACAGATGCCCACGGGCTGCCGGGACAGGACAGTGGGGCTTGGAGGGGGGCTACATCTCTCCGGGATAACTCAGGAATGTGGCTTTCTACTGCAAACACTTTGAGGCCTCTGCTTCAGCAGTGTTATTTCAGGCTGGGTTAGCAAATTATTAAGGGTCTCACACATTCTAATCCTGAACCACCTTCTTCTCTGAACTTTTTTGAAATTTTCCTCTCAAAAATACCACCGTTAGACATACATCACATATCACATGTAGTGCACATAACATGTATTACCCAAATAACACATGCCCAACTTAAACTATTGCTGTAAAAAAAAAGAAGTACAATTCAGTTTTGCTCTCAGTTATATAGCCTCTTGGATTCTCTGCTTCCAGGTACTGTCTTTTTAGCTGTGCTCCTATGAATGCAAGAGAAATGGTCTTATTTTACCTTATATATCCGTGGATCCACAGTGCACGGCACTGAACATAACTGAGCATCAGACAAGATTTCATTTGAATCGTGGAATCAGGGAAGCTCAGAATTGGAAAGGACTCTAGACATTGTGTAGTTTGTCGCCCCCACCAGGGCAAAAGCCCCTCCATGTGGCCAAGCAGCCCCACCTGCACCCTGCTCACCCTTCCCAGGCACACTGTGCTGTCCCCTTCGATGAAGACGACAAACTGTCAAAACATGTCATTGGATTCCACTTCTGAGAGATGGAGGCTAAGTCCGACCCACTGTCCTTGGCCAAATGTTTTAGGAGTCTCTAAATCTGACTCATACCAGCCCACTTGCTCTATGTGTGTGTGTATATGTGTGTGTGTGTGTGTGCGTGTGTGTGTGTGTGTGTGCATGTACGTCCCTAGCCCCCTCATGAAACTTCAATTTCTTCATCTGAATGGAATAATAATTCAAACGTGCTCAGTAAACAGGAGCTGGGGGCGGGGGCAGCAGGCTGCAGCCAGGCAAGCGAGCCCTGCAAGGCCTTGAGGTTGGGATGGGCAGCAGTCGTGCCTCTGAGGAGGAGAATGAGGAGAAAGCAAGACCACATGGGAAGGATCTTGGTAGGAAAATGGAGTCTTTGGCTGAACTCCAAAGCATACATTTCAATGTCAGCACGGCTACAGAGAAGACAGCAGGAGGACCACCTAGCAAAGCCATCAAAAGGCAACTGGGAGTCATGGTGGATTTATGAGAGGAGGGAGATACATCAGAGCAGAGGCCTGGGAGTTCTGATGCAATGCAAAGTTTATTCCAGAAGCCAAAGGGCAGAGCAGGGCCAGCAGGGGCTGGGGAGGGCTGGTCAGTCACAGTGACATCCGGGAACTTTGAGTTCTGCTATCTAGTTCTCATAGCTCTCACTTGTGTCTGTTTCATGCTGGGCTATCAGCTGCTATGGGGCTGTCAGCAAATCTGGTCTTTAGAACCCCATGCTTCCTATTCTAACAGGCTGTCCCAAATCTGTAATGGGCCAAGTCCCTGATAACCAACCTCCATTTATTCACCTGGGCATGCATCTACCCAGCAAACACTAACCACCACCAGTGACTCCACTGGGCGTGGGCGCCATCTGAAAATAAAGACAACAGAGCCATTGCCTTTTGTTTTTCCTTAAGGTTTATAGACTTCTGGGATAAACAGGTTAAAAAATAACTCTTACACGTGACACACTCAAATACCAGAAGAAAGGAATGAGCAAAATTCTGTGCCAAGGGTTGAGAACAGAGCAAGTCAGGCTGCATTTGGCCAGCAAATGTTTTGTTGGGCCCATGGGGTGGTTTACTGTGTCTTTTTTCCCCTCATTAAGTACCAGCATTTTAAAATTAGGATATTTCACATTAAAAACTCAGATTCCTATATGTTGATAAAAACAGGCCAAATCGGTGCTGGCAGGAGCAGCGCACAGATGCCCCTCCACGCACAGCACAAGTTCTCTGCTTTGCCACAGTCCCTGCCCCTCCCTTACTCTCTGACATAAATGACAAATGCTCAATTGCCAGTTATCATCAACCTATGCTATGCAGAGAAATGTAAACATTTAAAGTTTTACATTTTACTCAATGTCTATCAAAAGTTACAATGAGCTGGGCACCTGTGGCCTATCACCCTAGCTGCTCAGGAGGCTGAGATCAAAGGATGGTGGGTCAAAGCCAGTCCAGGAAGGGAGACCTCATCCCCAATTAACCAGCAAAATGCCAGACTGGAAGTTTGGCTTCAGTGATAAGAGCACCAGCCATAAGCAAGCAAACTGAGCAAAAGTGCAAGGACTGAGTTCAACCCCAGTACCAGCACGTGCGTGCATACGTGCGCACGCACGCGCACACACACAGAAATAAGGCAATGTAATAAAATAGAACAGGGCATTCAATAACACTGAATTAACTATTAAAATATAAGTCATACCCTTTTGGTTCTCAAACTTTCTAATTAGGAGAACGCCTTGATCTGATGCTCATCTTTAAGCTGACCTTACCTGGGAATGTCCAGCTTGAGACACAGCCGGACTTCCGTTGGAAAGGTGCCGTAGCAACAGTATCTACCTGCCACCTTTTCACTCTTGTGTCTCCACGCTTTTAGTTTTACTTATCTCGCACTTGCAGCAAACCATACTGACTTATTTTTTTCTCGTTCGCGTAGAAATCACGAATGCTATGTAAGACCTAAACCATATTCATGCGAAAACTGGTGAGGTAGAAGTTGTCTAAGGACGGGAAGGAGGTGAGGATGCACAGCCCGCACCCCAACAGGGCACTATCGCCGGGCCCGGCCCTGGGCCCCCTCTTCAAGCCTCAGCCGCGGCACCACCGGGCGGTGGAGGCTCACCGTGCAGCCCCCAGGGCCGCGTCCAGCCCCCGACCCCAGGCCCACGTCCAGGCCCAGGCCCCAGGCCCCAGGCCCACGTCCAGGCCCCAAGCCGCAGGCCGGTTGTCCTGGCAACCACGGAAGTCACGTAACCCTAGGCTCCCGCCGTCCTGGGCCTCGCGTCCCACTTGATCCCGCCTGTCCCACTCCTCACCATTGATCGCTTTTATCTTTCCACGTCACCACGGTCCTCATCGCAGCGTCCCTCACGCCCGGGGCTCCTCCTCCCGGACTCGGCAACAGAATCCTCCGCGCCAGCCACTTTGGCTACCTACGCTACCCCTGGCAACGCACATGCGCAGTAAGCTGCGCGCGCGTGTAGCTCCCGAGTGCGCATGTCTGAAAGGGAGGGCGCACTGAGGGGCCGAAGCCCAAAAAGAGCAGGAGCCCAGAAGCTCATGCTCGATTGGTCAAGGAGGATGGATGGGCGGTGCAACTTCGCAAGGGAGGATCTGATTGGCAGAGCCATGTAAACGCGGCTTTAGGAGGAGAGCCGCGGTGGTTCCGAGGGGCTCTTCCTGCCGTGGGGCTCAGGCTCCGGCTTGGCGCTGTGAACTGGTGTCCTCGTCTAACTCTGCCCGCAGCGGGGTGCGGCGCCTCCCGGCCCCGTGCCGCAGCCGGACGCCACTCTGCGGGCACCGCTGGGATGTCGCGTCGGAGCCCGGGGCTCGGCCGGGCCGCCCCGTCGGACCCCTGTGAGGACCGCCTCGGTGATCTCGGGTAAGTTCCTTCCCCTCCCGGGCCTCAGCGTCTCCCCTGTGCCGGGGAAGCGGGGGAGGCCAGGCCGTGTGGGCCTGGAGGCCTGCGGGTTCTGTCCCCGGGAGCAGCCCTGGGGAGGGGCCGGGGGAGCAGGGGAGGAGGAGGGGAGGGGGCTGTGTCTGAGGGTCTGCCTGGATAGGGCGGGGTGGAGGTGGGGGATCCCTAGGAAGACCAAGCTGATTTCTCTGATTGCTGTCAGAAGTTAGCCCTCCAAACTTCCTTTACGAAATGATATTGCCTTCTTTCTACAAACTTTAAAGCTCCCCCAGCGTAATCGGAATATTCCCTTTGGTTCCTGCATTGTGCAGGATTGAAGCTGAATAAGCAGAGGAAAAGAAATTTTGAATGAGTTCGTCACTACGTGTCTTGTTTTTCCAGTGAGGAAGTGGAATCAGGAAAAGTGGAAGGAGGTGAAATTCAAGTGGCCATAAAGAGCAGCAGTGAGGGCAGCCCCATAGAATACATTGCTGCCACTCGTTTTGGGGGTACCACAGTGACAGCCAGCCGTCCGCCTGTCCCTTGTGGATGGGAAAGAGTTGTGAAGCAAAGATTGTCTGGGAAAACAGCAGGAAGATTTGATGTGTACTTTATCAGGTAAGCAAACAAGGTGGTAAGTAAAGCTAGTACCAGCAAATAATTATTTTCTAGACAGCTAGTGGGAAAGTATAGCAGGAATCTTGGCTTATTATCTTTTTTTTTTTTGTCGTTCGCGGGGCTTGAACTCTGGGCCTGGGCGCTGTCCCTCAGCTCTTCAGCTCAAGGCAAGCGCTCTACCACTTGAGCTACAGCGCCACTTCCGGTTT